CCCTTTTCATTTATATTTTGAGATAAGGTCTTTCTAAGTTGCCCTTGTTGGCCTTGAACTTGTGCTTCTCCTGTCTCAGCCTCCAGAGTAGATGGGATTATAGGCATGTACCACTGTACCTAGCACATTCTGAAGCTTTGAATCAGAGTTTAGGTGAGGCTTAGTGTTACTTGTTGCCCACATAACTTTTTAATGAAGAAAAGCTGTATGTTTAAAGGCTCATTTTATAGGGTTATAAAACATGTTTAAATGTCAAACTGTCCATTGCATGAAAACAGCCATGTAAAAAATGATTTAAACCCAGATGATTAAGGTTTAGATGAACAATGCATGTGGGTGACTCATTGAACTCTCTCCACAAAGCCCTCCAACAGTTTGTGTTTGAAAACTATAAATCCCTCATCTCTGGCCAATTGTCCTATGAGAAATTGTCAGGGTGGTGTGAGAGAGTTCATAGTTGGCTCACCACTACTCTGTGTCCCTAGAGAAATAGCTTTGTGATAGGCCTGGATGATGCTGGACTACTCCAGAACCAAAGTTAAACAGAACAGGTCTGGGCACTAGTTATTAGAGAAGCATTCTCAGGACTTGTGAGGATTCTTGGTGTCCAATAGGACCACGAGGTTCCAATCGTTTGGAGAAGGGTCTTAGGAAATGTTAAAGTGACGATGGTCTCTTATAGTTGTATGATGCGTTACATTTAAATACCTTTATATTCAGTAATTTGATTAATTGACTAAAACTTTGAGTGCTTTCTCTATCCACAGCATTGATCTTTCATTGTAAGCAGGAAATACAAGGAAGTACATTGGAGTCTTTACCACGAAGAACAGTTTATATTAACAGATGGGAGAGGAGTACAGAAATCATACATAAATAACTTTAAGAAATTAAAATTGAACAGTTTAGTGAGAGATGTCTTATTACTAATAAATGCCAAAGAAACTGAGAAGCAAGCTCACTATGTGCTGCAAGGAGCAATTAGGAAAAAAATATGGAGGAAGTAGGATCAGAGGTAAGAAGTGGGCTTCTAGAAGGACAGATGGGATCTGGTTGGCCAAAGTAAAGAAAGGCTGGACTTTCAAAATAAAGATAAAGTTAATCAGATTTTTCAGGACAACAAAATGAGATTTAGAAGGATTAAGAGGGCTACATAGTTGGGATTTGGAGGTACTGTCCTCCACTGAAAGGAACAGAAGAGCTTGATGTGCAACGTCTGGAAATAGCCTGCATTGTCTCTTGGAGTTTTTGTGTCTAATGGAGACTAGAGGGCAGTTGTTTCTCCGTTATAACAACATGTATTGAATTCTCCACACTCATCTCCTACCAGCATTAGAGCTCATCTGGTGATCTTGGAACTGTATCTAAAACAGAAACACTGTGTTTGCCTCCCCTCTGTGGTGAATGCTGGAGAGGAGGAAGATGAAATCTTAAAAAGACCAGACTGATCACAGCACTATCAGCATTTGACATATTGCTCATTCTGTTGTGCAGTCATGTGGTGGCAATGATGCTGAAGTGCAGGGAGCATCAAATGCTACATAGTATAGTTGGAATGGCAGTAGATTCTGCCAAGCAAATCATTGTTATCCTTTCCTACTTACTAAATAATACACAGATATTTTAGATAAACATTTTTTTAAAAAGCAGTATTTTCTGTTGAGCAGTTTCTTTGAAACCATGTTGAGTTTTCAGTTTAGCAACAACATTTCCAAAGGGAAATCCAAATCATGTTTTATTATAATCAGATTAAATATTAAATAATTATTTGAATGTTCGTTTTTACTTTCTAACGAAGTGGTCTGTTCAGTTTGCTTTCATTGTGCATTACCAATGAAAGGCGTGGTTAATTTATGTTTGAAATTGCTGTGATTCTAGTCAGTGTGGTGGTATATTCCTGTAATCTCAGCTATTTGGGAAGCTGAAGCAGGAGGATTGCAAGTTGGAGGCCACCCTTGGCAACTTAGTTATACCTTGTCTAAAAATAAGAAACTGAGGATGTAGCTTAGTAGCAAAGTATCCCTAGGTTCAATCCCCAGCACATGCATGCACACACAAAAGAAAACTCCCCCCCAAAACAAAACAGAAAAACAGACTAAGTAACACATTATTCACAAGTATGTTAATATTACTTAAAAAGTAGAATGTTGCATGATGTAAGTTGGTATTAAACTGGTATTTCTCCCTTTTGAACTTATAGATCAGAGGTTACCAAACTTTTTCAGTAAAGAGCCAAATAATACACTAGTACACCTTTTAGGCTTGGGGCTATACAGTATCTATTATGACTATTAATATCTTTCTGTTGTATACAATACAGAAACTGATGAGTATGGTTATGATCCAGTAAAACTTTAAAGTAGGTAGAAAGCCAGTTTGGCCTGCATACCTTAGTTCACCAACTCCTTTTCTAGAGAACCCATTTTGTCCCATAGTTTCAGATGTAATATTTGCCAAACGTTCTACTTATAGGATGACTTATATACTTTAAAGATCCCATATTGTCCCTATGTCCTATTTAAAAGACACTCTGTTTTATTCTTCATGATAACAAAGGATATATAAGTTCTAGATTATGATTTTCAGTCTATTTTAATGGACCTATGTCAATTTCATTGAAATATTAGCAGAATTAAAAACTTGGGATTTAATAATGGGTTGTAATGTTCATACTCTTTTTTTAAAGAGCAGGAAGTACTAGTATTGCTAATTATTATTATTATTAGGTACTGGGGATTGAATCCAGGGGCACACAAGCAACTGAGCCACATCCCCAGCCCTGTTTTTTATTTTATTAGAGATAGGGTGTTACTGAGGCTGGCTTTGAACTTGCACTTCTCCTGTCTCAGCCTCCCGAGCCACTGGGATTATAGGCGTGCGCCACTGAGCCCGGACCTAATTATCTTTTCATATTTGATTTTCCCTTTTAAATTACAAATTTTTCAAAAACGGGGACCATATCTTTTATTTCTTTCTATCTCTCATATCATTTAGTACAATGCCTTCCTTGGGCAAAGTATAAAAAATGCACCTGTTGTCCCTTTGGGTCCATTCTAATTATGAGACTTCAGTTTCCATTTGTGGAATACTTTATCGTTTCAAAATTGCTTTGTATAGGTCCCTTATCTGGTTCTCACAACAGCCTCAGAAAAAGGAAGATAGGGTATATATATTCATCCCTTTTGTAGACCATGTGGCTGATGTTCCAAAGGTGAAGTGAGTTTCTCAAGTTTATGTTGTCTAATAAATGGCACATGGCTTTCTGTTGTAGCAATTTAGTGTGATGTTTAACTTTCTAAAAGTAAGTTCATCTTTTTATTCTTTTAGTCATAGAATTGTACATTTTCTATAGAGTTTAAATATTTAGTTTATGGTTTAGCAGTCAAATATTTCTTTTTTTTTGACACAGAAGAATCATTTTTCCATAGTTTAAAGGAAACAGATCTGAGTTATGCACAATTAGAAATAGTTTTTTTTTCCCTAAATCTCATAAATAAAATTGTCCTATTACTTCATTTTCAGAGAATAGACTGGCCATTCATGTTTTCTGCACTGGGCCCTTGGAATATGAGTCTGTATTTATTCTTATACATGCTGTGTTCTCTTTGCTGTGAATATATTACTCTTACTAGAAAAGGGGATTTTACCTTCTAGAACTCTGCCAGTGATGGTTATACAGATGAATACATAAGTCAAAAATCAAACACCATATTTTTTTTATTCACATACTTTATTTTATTTTATATTTAGAGTCAGGGTCTTGCTAAGTTGTTTAGGGCATCACTGAGTTACTGAGACTTGCTTTGAACTTGCACCTCCTGCCTCAGCCTCCCAAGCTGCTGGGATTACAGGCATGTACCACTGCGCCTTGCTTGTGTGCTTTATTTTAAATAAAGTTATGCCTGAATTTTTAGTAGTTAGCAATGGAGAAAAAAAAAAGCTCAAGTTCTCCCTCCTCTTCTCAAGCTTCCCCTTCACCAGCCTGCTGCTTTTTTTTTTTCCTTCAATATAACTTTGTAAAATAGCAGTCACCGTTGTCTAGTTGGCATTGCAACAGTGGAGTCAAACTGCTAGGGTCTGAATCTCAGCATTGCTACCACTTCTTCGTGCCTCGTCTTCCTCATTTCTAAACTGGAGGTAATTAGAATACTTACTTCCTAGGATTGTGAGGATTAGGATTAGATGAGGTAATGTGTAGAAAGCACTTCGGATGGTGCCTGGTCTGTAACGAGTGTTAAAATGCAAGGGGATATTATTATTTTAAAAACTGAACCTGTTCTTAGTTTCTGTGCACTGCCTTGACTGATGCCCGGTAACAGGTCTACCATTCTAAGGCCATTGTCTGTGATGACATTTGCAAGTCTAATATGAGGTGGTGTCCTGCTGGGTATGTTAGTGTCCCACAATTTGATTTTTTAAAAATATTTTTTATTTTTTAGTTTTTTAGATGGACACAATATCTTTATTTTATTTTTACGTGGTGCTGAGAATCGAACCCAGTGCCTCACGCATGCTAGGCAAGCACGCTACCACTTGAGCCACTTTCTTAGTCCATAATATGTCCAACTATATGTATTTTACTAATTATGTGCCAGAATTTCAAGGAAAATGGCATATTTAGTACCCTATTATTTATTATATTTTTTCTTTGTTTTCATTCTTCTTTTTATTTTTTGTATTTTTAATTTAAGGACCTGACTTAGTTTTACATAAGGAATGTTGGGCTAAAAATGGGAGACATGGATTTTAGTCACAGTTTTGTCATCAATTAGTTTTATGTCTTTGTGGAACTCAGCTTGTGTGTCCTTATTTATAAAATGGCAAATTATGATACCTGCTACGTTCTTTGGGGGCACATGCGTGCACAATTTGTGTGTGTGTGTGTATGTATGTATGTATACACAAGAAGATACTTATTCAGTGTAATGATTCCTATAAAGTAATTACAAGTGATCTCTAATTGCTTTATTAAAAATAATTATTGCTTTCTCTATTTTTAGCTTCGGGCTCAGAATCAGGTCCTAAAAAAAGGTGTTGTGGATGAACAAGCAAATTCTGCTGCTTTAAAGGTATCTAACAGGTCATTTATGTTGTGAATGTTAAGCGTTTGGTGATACTCAAAGCAGGGGATTCAGCTGGTTTTCAGGGTTAAAGTCCCAACTCTGACACTGATTCACTAAGGATAGGGGATAATAATATTCTTTTTTGTGTTTAACACTCCTACTTGCTTAGGAATTACTATTATATGAATATTATATTTTGATTTTCTTAGCTAAAAATTACTTTAAAAGTGTTATTTGACTTTAATACATTTCTTCTGTACCTTGCCTTTATTTAGCTAAAATCCATCTGGATTAATGGGGCTTCTCATCTGTGGTCATCTCCAGACAGCACTTGGAGGGGGCTATGTTGTATTCATATTTGTATCCTTGGCACTCAGCAGATGGTAGGGCCCTAATAAATGGATTTGAATGTATAAATCATTTAGTCTATTAATCTTGCCTTTAGTTGAGCTAGTTGATATTAATTACCTTTGTTAATCTGAACACTGAGTGATAAATTTTATCATCAGCACCTTTGTTGACCTTAGTGGAGAAATATGATAGGAAATGAAGGAATTTGTTTCTACCTCATTTTGGTAGGCATGTAATAAATAATGCTTAGTGATATTTTTAAGTGATGGATAATTTAATACTAGGATGTAGATTCCTTCTTGGACAACCTAACAGTCTAATCTAGCAGACTAGCAAATTATCAACTATGTTGTAATTACAATGACCATTGTAATGAATAATAAAACAAAAAGTAATTTCTTTACATTATTATAATAAGTTACCACCAGTTGACTAATGTTCCAGCTCTACTAACCAGTCATTAATTTTGGAAGACCCTAACCCAACCTCTCTCTAAACTTCAGTTTCTGCAAGGGGGATGATAATGTTATCAGCCTCTACAGAGTTGTAAACCGTGAATAAAATAATAAATATACTTAGCACTGATATGTGAATGCTCCATAGGTGGAAACAGTGGTCACCATCGCCACTGCCACCACTGTTGACACTATCGCTACAATCATAGTTAATCAAACAACCAGCAATAGGAGGCTGTCAAACATGAAAGCAGACTACAACAAATAGGAAATACTTTCCCCAGTAATAGGCTTTAAATGAATTGCTGGGTATGGTAAATATTCATGGACTTGACTTTGTGTGTGTGTGAGATATACTGTCAGATTGGGGCACTCTACCTGAGCCACATCCCCAACCCTTTCTTATTTTTTATTTTGAGATTGGGTCTCACTAAGTTGGTGAAATTGGCCTTGAATTTGGAATCCTCCTGCCTCAGCTTCCCAAGTAGCTGAGATTACAGACCTGCCCCACTACACCTGACTATTCTGTTTTTTCAAAATAGAGCCAAACTAAATATTTCTCTCTAGCTTTCCATAGTTCCATATTTTGACTGATTTAAATTCAAGCAGAGAGGATTTATAGAAAAAAAGAAATACAAATACATTTTTTCCCATCCTTGTTCACTGAAGGTATCAATAGTGAGTTTGAGTTCTCTTAAAACAAATTCAGGTTTATAAATTTGTGTCCTCAGGCTTTGTGTTTGTTCACTGTCATAGATTTAATAAAATATAGTTGTAGGTATTTTACTTTTAAGTTTTCAATACTGTTATTTCAGTATACTTGCTTTTTTAATTTTATTTTTTAATTTACTTGGTTTGGCCAAAAGATGATTTTTTCCTAAAACACAGCTAAAAACATAAGAACTGAAATGACAAACATGCAACTCGAATTTTCTAAAGCAAGAGATTTTGATTATATTTTCCTAGAACAAAGATTTTTTTCCCCCTATTATCTTTAAACCTCAAGGCTAAAGGGTGAGGTACATTTTGTTTTCACTTTGATATAGGAACAACTGAAAATGAAGGATCAGTCATTGAGGAAACTACAACAGGAAATGGATAGTTTGACATTTCGAAATCTGCAGCTTGCCAAGAGGGTAGAACTACTTCAAGATGAACTATCCCTAAGTGAGCCTCGAGGCAAGAAGAACAAGGTAGGTTCTTTAAAGGCAAGTTAGTGTGGCTCATCATGAGGCGCAGACACTGGTTTCAGCAGAAAACCCCATCTCCAAGTTCTCTAACATTTTATTATTATATGTTGATATTGGGTCAAGAAAGCAGACGTTTGCTATTAATATCTACTAAATATGCAAAAGTCAGTTTTAAGAGATGTATTAGCACCAAACTTGTATATAGTTGAGTTAGTGGCTGAGAAAAGTCAGTGGAATATTTCACATTGGTCACAATTGTTGATCTCTTTTAGTTACATGAAGTTGCCATTAACCCAAAGTAGGGCAGACAAAATGAGAACTATTGATAAACTTTAACTATTCATATGAAAGTGACAATTGAAACACAGGTTTCAACTTAGGTCTGTAAGTTTAAAATAGATGTATTTTCATAGTGTTTATTCTTATGAGGCCAATTTAGTATTCTTGTCTTGAGATTTAAAAATAAATGTTTTCCCTTAGGTTTTTTTTTTTTTGGTCAGTTAAAATTGCTACTGCACTAGGATAGATGTTTGGTATTTTTGAACCTCCTATGATTAAGAAGTTGCTTTTGAGGGGGGTAGTAGGGGCTAGTGATAGAGTCTTGTAAGGTAGAGAGCCATACTCCAGAATGTATAGGTAGAAGCGGTTATAATAGAGTGGGTAAAAGTGTACAGTGACTCCGAAGAAGCAGTGTGTGTCTCATTGTGAGTGTTAAATGGGATCATGTGAAAGTGCCTAGGACTCTATTTGCCACATAATATGTGAATACCTTTTTCATATGTATTTCCCTACATGGGAGGATTCTCTGGAGTGCTAGTGTTCAAGTTAAGGGGGAAACAGGGGATAATAGACATGTATTAGAGTCACTTGGGAAGTTGTCAAAATACACATGCCCTGGAAATTTTGAAAGACCCCTGGGAAGGAAATAGCCATCTAGACTTCAAACAGGTGCACCAGGTTATTAATATCCCCTCCCCTGCTAGACTACAACTGTTTAGCAGAGGTGTGGGTATAACACTTGTGAATTATTTTTAATTAAAGCTATCCAAATTTGGAAGTACTTGAGGCCCGCAAACATGTCAGTCAGCACTGTTCTTTTTGCATCTCTTGTGTTCAGACGTGATTAATATTTCATGTTACTATTGTTGTTTATACATAGCTGCTCTGTTTTCAGAGGGCTTTTAAAACTAATTTATGGGGCTGAGGTTGTGGCTGAGTGGTAGAGCTCTTGCCTAGCATGAGCCAGACACTGGGTTTGATCCTCAGCCACATAAAAATAAATAAATAAAATAAAGGTATAAAAAATAAAATAAAACTAATTTATATTGAATCAGTAGGTAACTTTATTTTAAGTGAAGAACGAGGATACAGAAAAGGGAGAAAAGGGTGGTGTCTGATGTTTGAACACAATTGCATTGTTAGATTGTTCCTTGAATAGTCTGAGTTCTGTGAATCATCTGAAAACAAATGTTCATTATTAGATCTTTTAAATAGTACTATTATTCTCAGTAGAAAAAGTGAATATTAGTTAAAAAGCAAAGTGAAGGGATTTTTAAATAATCTTTGAGCTTTTTTCTTATGTTTATTTATAATAGCTTTATTTTACATGACTTTTTTTAAATTTAGAAATTTATGTAATTTCTTATATAGCTTATCTTTGTGAAATACTGCTACATTATTTATTACAATTTCTTAAGGGAGTTTAATAACTCAGACTCGTAGAATTGCTAAAATTCTCGTTTCTGAAACTGAAAGATTAAATTGAAATGGTTTTTATTAGCATACTTATTATTACTAGCTTTCTGGGTCTGCTCGTCTTCCAACAGAGTTACCCCTGAATTTATCTGCAAAGAATAGTGAACCTTACTTGCTATTTTCTGTCATTCTGTCTTTCAAGTTTTCCTGCTTTTTGGAGTGTTTACACTTCCAGTTTGTATCACGTAGGAAAAGTTAAATGATGGACTGTATACCTTTTGCAGGGTTGTTTGAGAATGGTGAACACATAGAAGAGACAAGCTACTAAGGTGATAGAGAATCTGTGTACCTTAGGATGTTTCTCTAAAGGATGAAAGTTATGTGGACATAACTTATTCTTTCCATCAGAAAAGTGGAGAGTCTTCTTCTCAGTTGAGCCAAGAGCAGAAGAGTGTCTTTGATGAAGATCTGCAAAAGAAGATAGAAGAAAATGAACGGTTGCATATACAAGTGAGAAAGATCTTTCTCTTTTTCTCTATCAATTAAAAAATGGGTTACACAATCTGGAAGGTGGAAAAACCAAAGCAAATACACTGCTTTGTGTCCAGATGGATTTTTAATGTCTCTTGAGGTCTTTAAATTTATTTTCATTTCTCAAATCTTACATATGTCTTGATTTGGATATCTGCTTTGAAGTATATGCTTTTATTCAAAGTACAGCAGAATAGCTTTATAATTTAACAATACAGAACTATACTGGGCACTATTCATTTTGCACAGGAAAATGATTGGATGGGTCATTTAATGAGGTTATCAGGAAGTAGGGTTTGCTTTCTAATTTATTAATGCTTAGTTGGTTTTTATCAGTACCTCTGTTAGACTATAATGCCTTTGAGGGTGTAGACTAGGTATGCTTTGTATGCCCAGCTCCAAGGTAGAACCTTACTCATGGCAGGTACTTGCGTATTTATATGGTGTTGAAAAGACACTGTCAGGCATTGTGTATTACTCCCTGGCTATTGGCATGCCTCAAACCATTGAACATATTGTAAGAATCGTAATGCAGTATATCCAACTGCATTAATATTTCATGTTACTATTGTTGTTTATACATAGCTGCTCTGTTTTCAGAGGGCTTTTAAAACTAATTTGTGGGGCTGAGGTTGTGGCTGAGTGGTAGAGCTAATTTTTTTTCTTTTTTGGTCAAATGATGGAAAATAAATATGCACAAATTCTTATCTTTGAAAATCTTAAAAAAATGCGCTTTTGACTTCAGTATATTTTGTGTTTTACGTATTCGTAATTCTTAATCAGTATTAAATTCTTATTAAGGGAAAGAGCTCTGCCTTTTTTTAGGAATAGCACTTAAATTTTTGATTATTTCAGTGTGGAAGTAAGTAGAGTTGAAGTTACACTCTAATCAGTTGAATTCTCTGTGTGCCAAAAATTGTTTCAATAGAAATTCATGAGACCGAGAGGAAAGAAGTTTGGGCTTTGGGTAGGTTCCTTGTATTTAAATCTCATTTCTACTATATTTTGAACTGTGAGACATTAGACAAGTTATATAACCCTTTCAAATTTCAATTTCCATATTTGTACAGGAGGGATAACAAAAAATACTACTTCTGATTCTCTCTTGGATTAAATGAGATAATGCCTATTTGATCTAGCACAGTGAGCATATGGGGCCATATGGAAGTTGCTCAGTGAATAGTCACTGCTGTTGTTTTTTTTTCTCATTTATGCATATTAGACTGTGAAAAGTCAAAAAACGTTTTTTTCTTTTTCAGTTTTTCGAAGCTGATGAACAGCACAAGCATGTGGAAGCAGAGCTGCGGAGTCGGCTGTCTGCTTTGGAGACAGAAGCTGCCCAGCACCAAGCTGTGGTAGATGGCCTGACACGCAAGTACATGGAAACCATCGAGAAACTGCAGAATGACAAAGCTAAACTAGAAGTAAGGTTCATTATTCTTAGAATGTTTTAAAAGTGGGTTAAGGCTTTTATAAATTGTTGGTGTGCTTTATAGAGAATAGAATTAGTCATTCCAGGCGACCCTGTAGCCTGAGTGGCCCCCATGTGTGCTCCCATCTGTAACCTAATATGTCAACTTTTCTTTTTCTTCTAAAATTCAGGTAAAATCTCAGACTCTAGAAAAAGAGGCCAAGGAATGTCGACTTCGAACAGAAGAATGGTATGTGGAAACATGAATTCCAAGCAACTCGTCTGTCTTATCTGTCTCACATTTGAGATGAGGAGATGGGAGCAGGATCCTTTATCATTCTCTGGGGACTTAGCATTCTTGAGAGAGGGGCTTGTGCCTTAGTCCTCAGCCTACAGATATGTTGGGCCATGGCAGGTACCCTTTTGGGGCTCCCATATTGAGGACTGGATACTTTCTATTTCAGCCTGCCCTAAAGAGAGGATTCATGCAGGAATGCTGACTGATAAACACTTTGCCAACCATTTTATGCTACATTTTGAATAAAGTAAAGGTCTATTCCCTAAAGATCTAAAAAGAGCATACTACAGGGATACTGCTACATCGATGTTCATAGCAGCACAATTCACAATAGCTAGACTGTGAAACCAACCTAGATGCCCTTCAATAGATGAATGGATAAAAAAAATGTGGCATTTATACACAATGGAGTATTACTCTGCATTAAAAAATGACAAAATCATGGAATTTGCAGGGAAATGGATGGCATTAGAGCAGATTATGCTAAGTGAAGCTAGCCAATCCCTAAAAAACATATGCCAAATGTCTTCTTTGATATAAGGAGAGTAACTAAGAACAGAGTAGGGAGGAAGAGCATGAGAAGAAGATTAACATTAAACAGGGACGAGAGGTGGGAGGGAAAAGGAGAGAGAAGGGTAACTGTATGGAAATGGAAGGAGACCCTCATTGTTATACAAAATTACATACAAGAGGAAGTGAGGGGAAAGGGGAAAAAAAAAAACAAGGGGGAGAAATGAATTACAGTAGATGGGGTAGAGAGAGAAGATGGGAGGGGAGGGGAGGGGAGGGGGGATAGTAGAGGATAGGAAAGGCAGCAGAATACAACATACACTAGTATGGCAATATGTAAAACAGTGGATGTGTAACCGATGTGATTCTGCAATCTGTATACGGGGTAAAAATGGGAGTTCATAACCCACTTGAATCAAATGTGTGAAGTATGATATATCAAGAACTGTGTAATGTTTTGAACAACCAATAATAAAAAAAAGTAAAGATTATATGATATAATTTAGGGATATCTACATCAAAATTATTACTTAGCAGTGCATGCTGAAGTCATACTCCAGCATTTATTTGGTATGTAACATAATATCTTAAGTTTTAATAGGACCCCTCAAATGAATTTCTTGCTTCTTTTCAGTTGCTTTGGTAGAATTACATGAATTGGTAGAATTACATGAATGGTTTAGATGTGTACCTCTGCTCATGATTGAATCAAAACAAATCATCAGATTTTACGCTCAAGAGAAGAAATCTGATATAATACTTTTAATAAAAACTTTGGAGTAATACTGAACAAACATTTATGTGGTATGAAGAGAAAACTTATGCTTTCGAAGTGGCTCTAAGATTACTCTGAGCTGGGAAGAATTAAGTTTTGTAAGATACTGGGACTATGATGAATTCTTCCAGACTCTCACACCATTCTGCAGAAGTCTCAGGGGATTTGGAATTCAGGCATAGTGTTTCTCTTATCTTTATCTTTTAACAACTCTCTGCTCAGAGTGTCCCAGATGTCAGGCACAGTTCTCTGAGAGCATGAAACCAGCTGTTGAGGTAATAAGCAAATGATGTTTCACTGTCTGACAGGAGATAATGTGGTTTTATGTTTTTTCTTTCAGTCAGTTACAGTTAAAGAGTCTTCATGAAGATTTGTCAGGTAGATTGGAGGAATCCTTATCAATCATCAATGAAAAAGTACCTTTTAATGATACAAGTAGGTATTGTGAACAGTTTTCTGTTATTTGCAACTTTGAACCTCTTTGTGGTAGCCAACTAATTAAAACAATTCTAATAACTTTGGCAACAAATTTAATTGGCTGAACAAAGGGTTGCTTTCTTTTTGTTCTTTTCCTTAGCTTAGGCTCTCATATTATATAGGGGGATTTTAAATGACATACAATCACTCCAGAGTCAGTCTTCTTGGAAAAAACCCAAATCTACATCTTTGTATTGTACATATTTATCATATCTCATGGTAAAAATGAACCTGCACATAAAGTAGTCAAATATTTGTGTGAGCAAAGTTGTTGTTTATGGTGGGGAGATACTGGTAGTGGGAGGTAGATCTTTTCAGCCTGGTATTGGCCTTCAGTCTGTCCCCAGTGACAGTCAGGAAGCTGCCTTGGTTAAGCCCGGCTTTCTCTTTATTCTGGGCATGGTCTGGTAACTTACACATCCAAGAGCAACAAAAAAGAACTTAAAAAAAAATACAAAAATGGTACAACAAGTGGGTGTGGTGGGTCATACCTGTACTCCCAGCACCTTGGGAGGCTGAGGTGGAAAGATCAAAAGTTTGAGTCATGCTTGGGCAATTTAGTGAGACCATGTTATATAACCCTTTCAAATTTCAATTTCCATATTTGTACAGGAGGGATAACAAAAAATACTACTCAAAAATAAAAAGGGCTGGGCTTACTTCATGCCTGTAATCTCAGCAACTTGGGAGGTTGAGGCAGGAGGATTACAAGTGTGAGGCCAGCATCAGTAATTTAATGAGGCCATAAGTAAATTAGTGAGACCTTATCTCAAATTTAAAAAATAAAAAGGGCTGGGGATGTAACTGTGTAGTAAAGTGCTCCTGGTTCAGTCTCCAACACTAAAACAAAACAAAAATAAAAGTAAAAATGGCTTGGGATATAGCTCAGTGGTGTATCACTTGATTACTTGCCTTGCATGTGTAAGGCCCTGGGTTCAATTGCCATTACTGCAAAAAACAGATGAAAAACTAGATAATACCTTACATTTGTAATAGGTGCCAAGTTAGTAACTTTTGTGTAAGAATTAAGTCAAGATCTTGAAAGTGAAGAAAATATTTGTTTGGATTTTGAAACTTATATTTAAATTAATGCACATTTTCTTTTTCTGTGATCACATGATTGAAATTAATTTTTTTTACTTCTCCTAAATTTTTCTTAGGGAAGACCAGAGTGAGTGAGTGAGAGACAGAGAGAGAGAGAGAGAGAGAGAGAGAATGTGTGTGGGAGGGTGGGGGAGAGAAAAGAGAAGAAATCACAGGAAAATAGTAGTAGTAGTTTGGTCCAACACTAATATAAGCATTTGTCATTATTGTATCAAAAACCTAAATTCCCCCTTTGAAAACAACATCTGTTTCTGGCTTCTGTATTAATGTAAATAACGTTAGCATACTGCTGGGTGAGGTGGCGCATGCCTGTAATCCCAGCAACTCAGGAGGCTGAGACAGGAGGATCTCAAGTTCAAAGTTAGCCTCAGCAAAAGGTGAGACACTAAGTAACTCAGTGAGTCCCTGTCTCTAATAAAATATAAAAATAGGGCTGGGGATGTGGCTCAGTGGTTGAGTGTCCCTGAGTTTAATCCCTGGTACCCCGCCCCTCCAAAAAAAGAAAAATAAAAAAAATTAGCATACTTTGCTTCCTTGAATTTGAAATCTTTGTATTAAATTTTTCATTTGAAGCCTTGTGTTGGTTAGTCATCAGGTGCTAATAACTTCTTCCTGAATCTCTTCATCCTTTCTTTTCCAATACTAGTTGTCACTTGGTTTTAGGTCCTTATGTCACATATGGATTAGCTACTTTTAGTTCCCAAAATATTTAGAGATCATTTGCTGAGTGCCTAGATGGGTAGGTAGCATAGGAGATGCAAACATTTGTAAGACAGAAATCTGTACCCTCAAGGAATTTATGGTCTATAGGGCAAAGATAGATATAGAAGTGTCTGTATAGAAAATACAAGCTAGACTGTGCCATAAAGAACCACTTGGAGTTTTAGAGGAAAGTGACATTATTCTGTGGGTGTTTGAGAAAGCCTTCCCAGAGTAAGTATGCTTGAGTCAGGCTTGTGTGTGTGTAAGCAGATTATTGGACAGAGAAGAGGGAGAACAAGCAAGAGAATTTGTGCAGAGTATGATATGTGGGCCTAGAGTTCCAACATGACCCCAGGAACAGTAATTAAGTGTAATGGGGGTTAGGAGTGGGATGCAGAGGGCAGTTACAGTTAGTTCTGAAAGGGAGAGTGGGAGTGGACCCTAGAATTTTGGGCTATGGACTTAGGATTTTGTTTATAAGGCCGTTGTTTGTTGGAGAGATTTTTGAGCCAGGCACTGTCCTGATGAGATTCGTGTACTCCACAAGGCTAATCCAGTGATAGAGTGTAGATTGCCTTGGAGTGGGAAAAAGGGAGGTTGAGGCTTTTGTGATGATAGTTCTGGTGTGCCATCATGGAGGCTTGGTCCTAGGCTGTCAGGCTCAACAAAAGTTTGTGTGAATGGGGGACAGGGTGAGGGCAGAGGCTAAGTATGGTACAGGTGCAAGAGAAGTCACTGTGGAGGAATTTTGTGGAAGGAATTAGAATAGCTTGGTTCTTTCAGGGAGGTTAGGAAGAAAGAGGCGGTGAAGGGGAAAGATTGTGGTTCATTTGACAGAAATAAAAGGTAAATATGAGCTGGGTGTGGTGGCACACACCTGTAATCCCAGCAATTTGGGAACTGAGAAAGGAGGATTACAAGTTCAAAGCCAGCTTCAGCAAATTAGTGAGGCACTAAGCAACTTAGTGAGACCCTGTCTCAAAATAAAAATGAAAAGGGCTGAGAATGTAGCTTGGTGGTAAAGTACCCCTGGGTTAAATCTCCAGTACCAATAAATAAGTAAATAAATAAATAAAATTTAAAAATTTAATGAAGGTAGATGTGTTAGCTTTCTATTTATCTGACAAAATGCCTGAGAAACTTAAATGTAGGAAAGGTTTATTTTGGCTCTAGTTTCAGACCATGGTCAGTTACCTGTGTTGATTTCTCCAGCTCAGTGATGGGGGTGGAAGTGTTGGGGTGGGGAGGGGAGAGACTGTGGTGGAGAGAAGCTAGAGAAATGGAATGAAATAGAATCTGGAGAAGAAAGTGTTTCATCCAGTGGTGTTGGTCAATTCTGCATATTAATGTGGAAAGGTCATAAGAGTAATGGTGGTGGAGGCAGCTGGTTTTAGTGATTTGATTTTGTGACTTTGAGAGGACTAGAAATCTTTGAGGTAGTGCTTCCATGTAGGTGAATGGGTGATGAGGAAATAGGCAATTCTGTTTTTTGAGCCATGGGAATGAAGAAAATGGAAATGGAAATAGATGAGAGCCTAACAGACTAGCAAAGTAAAAGAAAAGTTTGTGTGCATGGAGGTCGGGTGAAGGGCAGTATGTTAAGTATGGTATAGGTGAAAGAGAAATCACTGTGGAGGTAAGTGAGCTGCAACAATTTTTTTTTTTTTTTTTTTTTTTTTGTAATGAGGTGACACTAAGGAGGGAGGGACGGACTGATGTATCTTGTCCCTGAGCAGGTCAGGAGCAGCTGTTGCTAAGGGCCCAAGAGGAGGATTAGCTGAGGAAAGGATATGTGAGCCACAGACTCTGAGATGGAAGCTGGGCAGGGTAAGATCCCTTTCATTTTGGCTCTGGTGCTCTTAGCATGGCAAGGGGGAGGCCATCCCATCCATGAAGCAGGAGTGGAGGTGAGGAATGGTATCCAGGGCTTAAACTGGAAAAGGTTGGAGTGGCTATCATGGGAAGTATCATAGGAACACAGCAAAGAAATCCTGGATCACAGAGTGGAGTTGATGTTCCCCTGCAGTTAGGCAAAATATATTATAGCAGACCCAGCTCTGGTTTTGTGTTAGCAAAAGCATTTTGTGTTAGCGAAAGACAAGGCCTGGGGTCAGGGGAGCAGCAGGACTCCATCAGAGTTGATAGGAGAAGTATTGATGGACAAAGAGGAAGCTGGGAATGCATAGCAGTGGGGGCATTAGAGAGCGTTGGGTGAGAAAGGTGCAGGAACTTTCAGAATCCGACTTTGGCCTGGGGCATTCTGACTGAGGACATGGCAGAGGATAGCAGTATGATTGGATGAAGTGGTGAGTAGAGATGACATCATTAAAATGAGGAGCGTAGGAAGTGTGAGGCCAGGTGTTAGGAAGCCATCACGGGTTGATGACAGATTGGAGCATGGAGAGCGGGACCATGAGGAAGACAGTGAAACCATCCCAAGAAAGTGAGGATTGCCTCCTTGGAATCAGGAGTAGCAGATGGTGACAGATTTCTGAACACTGTAGTGTTTAAAAATTGGTATTTTTTGGAGGATTAATGTGGCTGCTGTGTGCAGGGTTATCATAGAAGTCAGAGTGATGATAGCAAGAACATCATGAGCCTTTCTAAATAATCTTGATAGGCCCCAAAAAAGTATTTAAAATTATTTCTTAGAAGTGGAGACACAGAAATTGTTCTCCTATCCTGAAGTTTAAAAAAAAAGGTATAAGTATCATTTTATCTGAGAAATTACTGACTCCATATAAATTTTGTTATTCCCATACTGTGATTATGTTGCTGATCATTTTAAATTCTCATGTGTTAGGCTGGGGATGTGGCTCAAGTGGTAGTGTGCTTGACTAGCGTGTGTGAGGCACTGGGTTCAATTCTCAGCACCGCATAAAAATAAAATAAAGATATTGTCTCCACCTAAAACTAAAAAATAAATATTTAAAAAAAAATTCTCATGTGAAGCTGATTTTGCTGCAGAGCATTTGTTAGTTTGTAGTTAAGCTGTTTTTCTGTAAATTTAAAACGAGAGACCTAATGCGCTTCATTTTTGTTTTGTAGAGTATAGTCAGTATAACGCGCTCAATGTTCCACTCCACAATAGGAGGCATCAGGTAAAAGACAAAGTTCTGTTTTTATTTCAGTCATATGTATGTTAAACTTTCCAGAAACAAGAATCAGTTCTTTGGCTTCTATTTAGTGTGCTAAACCATTGCTTTACTTTCTCATAGATTGCTTTAAATTGTGTAATTTGCTTTTTATTGAATTAATGAGTAATACAAATTTTTGATGTCTCTCTTATCTGGTAACATTAGAACTGAATAATGGGATACCTTAATTTTTGAACCATGCTTTTCTTAATGTTGTTGGACCTTGCACTTAAATAGCCAAGGTTAAATGGTCAGGGGTGTGTTTGCCAAAGACTGGTATCTTTCTAATTTACTTAGATAGGAATATTAAAATTCAAATAGGATCAAATTAATAAGGAACCATCACAGTAGAATTCAAGGGTTTTCTCCAGAATAGGCTTAATAAAGTTGTTTTAGAATAATAATTGTTAGGTGACCTCAACTGAGTGCACTTTTCATTTTAAAGCTGAAGATGCGAGATATTGCTGGGCAGGCCCTGGCTTTTGTTCAAGATCTTGTGACAGCTCTTCTGAACTTTCACACCTATACAGAACAGAGGATTCAGATTTTTCCTGTTGATTCTGCCATAGACACTATATCACCATTGAATCAAAAGGTAAATTTAATTTAGAATGCTTTTTGTTGCCCTGAACATATTGAGAGAACAAATAGGGAGCTGTGTATTTTCAGACCACTTTCTGTGCATGAGCCAAGTACTGAGGAGGATGTGGAAAAAACCACAAGTCATTGTCTTTACTCTCAAGGCAATATATGGCAGAAATGGAGATTCTTAAGAATTGAAATACTAGGGGAGTTTTTGAAAGACCTCAGTGTGCGTGAATGAGGGATGTGGCCAATAAGGCATCTGATATCCTTAGCAAGGGAGATTGCCATGGGTAGTATCCTCTGGGAAAGATTCTTTAGGAATTTGAATGGACCTTAGAGAATGAACTGGATTCAAATAGGATAGAGAAGAGGGATGGATTTTTTTTTTCCCCCAGAAAGGGGAACTGCAGGAGCAAAATCAGGAAATAGGAAGGAGGAAGCGGAAATGAGGAGAAATGAACAAGTAGTCTTGGCCAGTGTTCATAGAGGGGAGGAACAGGAGGTAAGATCGAAAAGAGAAAAAGTAGAGAGGGCCTGGGGGGTCCCTGAGGGTAGACTAAGGCATAGACCTTCACTTTATTTATAGAATTGAAGCCTTGGCAACTTTTTGACTAGGGGTGACATATGAGAAATCCCATTCTATTTTTGGAAAGATTAATTTGCTTGCATTTTTCTCTCTTCCTATTTGTGGTCCCTGTGTAACCTTCATCTTTGGTCATGTTTAAACACAAAAAACAAAAACAAAAAATCAAACTTGTGTGGTACATAGGTTTTTTTTCTTCCTCTTGGGATGAGGAACGGGAGTGAAACTGCTTATCCAGTTCAAACTGGAAGGCATTTTCAGGGTTTGTGAGGGTTTTTTTTTTGTTTGTTTTTTTTTAATATTTTTTAATTGTTGACAGAACTTTATTTTATTCATTTATTTGTATGTGATGCTGAGAATCAAACCCAGTGCTTCACACATGTGAGGCAACTGCTCTACTACTGAACCACAACCCTAGTCCAGGGTTTGTGAGTTTTTAACATGGAATAGGAAGAGGTTTGAATGTTGCTTCAGTCCATATATGCTTTTTTTTTTTCTTGCTTGATTTTGCTCCTTTCTTTCCTTTTTTCTCCCTAGCTAATTCCAAAATAGAATTTAGGCTTGCAAAATTTCATTTAACTGAAAAGGTAAAATAAATGTGAATGAGTGTATTTCTTATGTATTACTCTATAACAAATTGCCCCCAAATTTAGTAGTTTCAAACAACAAATACTTATTGTCTCACACTGTTGCTGTGGGTCAGAAATTTGGGAGCTAATTAGTTGGAAGGTCTCTGGCTTAAGATTTCTGATAAGGTTTCACTGGGGTTGCATTCATCGAAAGATCTGACTGGATTTGGAGGATTTATTTCTAAGGCGGTTCCCTCCCTCAGTGGTGTTGAATGTTGGCTGGAAGCCTGGTTCTCAGTAAATGCTCCTTTCCACAGGACTATTTGAGTGCCCTCATGAAACGGCAGCTAACTTACCCCAGAGAGAATGATCCAAGAGAGAGTGAAGTGGAGGCTACACTGCCTGTTATGACAGTGCCTTGGTAGCCACATACCATCACTTCTGCCACATTGTATTGGTCACACAAACTAACCCCCAAACAATGTGAGAAGGGTGGTATACAAGAATACATGGGGATCATTGGGGCCATATTTAAGGCCAGCTCTCACACAGGAAGGAAGTCGAGGGATCTTGATACTTTGAGGGCTCGATAATGTGGTGATCTGAAATGAATGCCACTCTTCCTACTGTATGTGATTCTTCTTTCCAATTCTCTTGCCCCGCCATGTATTATGTGGTATTTCCAGCAGTTGAGCAGTATTTGTATCTGTGAATACCCAAAGTGCCAATTAGTGTAGCAAAGACTTGGATACTCGAGTTAGACTTCTTGGGGTCCCAGTCCATTCTGCCACTGTCCAGCTATGTCCCCTTGGGAGACTTATTTTCCCTCTCTGTGCTTCAGTTTCCTCATCTTTAAAGTGAAGGGATAGAGTACTTACCTCACAGTTGTGTGTGTCTGAAAAATTACATGAGATAATATGTGTTAAGTGCTAGGAAGAAAGTCTGGCATATAATGAGAACTCTGTGAAAGTTAGCTCTTATCAGCATCATTATGCCTTATACATATGAGCCTTCAGAAGGTGGTTTTCATCAATTTTGGTCTGACTCCATGAATCTACTGAAATTCATAAAATTAAATTTGGGTCTTTGAAATGATCTTTAAATATCACTATGGGAAACAACTTTTAAAAGACCTGCATAGGAAAAACAGTACTCTGTATTTTCATATAGAAAGTTATACTTTCTATAATACCAAAAAAAATTTCTACTTTATATTGGTTCTTTGCCTACTATTTTAGTGTGTTGCCATATTATATGCAGGGTGAGAATCAAATGTGTTGACCTTAGTTTCTCTGGGACACTTCATTATTTTGAAGAACTCATGTATTTCCTCAATATTCTCAAAGGTAAAATGTTGGTGTTTTAGCCTATGAAAGGCCCTTTATGATTTTTCTAATAAGTTTATAAAATTGAAGGAGATTCAGAAACCATTTGTTAAAAGATGACCAAAATATTTCAACTTGTTCGTAGAATCATAAAGTAGTCCTTGAGACCTGTAAGCTTAGAGTTCATCTTTTTTTTACAGCTATAAAGATTGAAGCCCAGAGAGATTGAGTGAGTTGCCCAGGACAAATACATCTGTATACTTTGCAGTGGGGTCAGTTGAATCATGTTTGTGCAGAATGAGACCTTACATTTTTATACTGAGAAATTGAAATTGGAGCCATTATAGAATACTTATCTGAAATATTTTATAGCTAAAAGTTACCCTTTTGCTTCTAAATTAAAATAACTCTGGGAGTTTTCTTCTGATTTTTTTTTTTTGTGCCAGGGATTGAACCCAGGGTTGTGCATGCTGAACATATGCTCCATTCTGAGCTACAACCATAGCTCTTGAAATCTATTCTTCATAATGAATCAGTCCTTTTAAGCCATAATAAGATATCAGTGATCATTATAAAAATTTTTATGTCCTCTTTTTAATAATTACATTCCTGTTATTTGTTAACCCTGAATATCATATACAATAAAAATAATAAACTATTTTTAAAAAGCTTTATTTTTAAAAAATGAGACACATAGCACAAAATCTATGTCATATAGTATTGGTTTTCAGATCTTACTATTTTTTTTTTTTTTTTTTTCCCTTTTCAAACTGGCAGCCCTGGGAGAGGAAAGTGTTTGAGGAATGCCACCTGTTGGTGTTGGGTTGTATTGCCCTATCTTCTCTCCATTTCCTCCCATGCCTGGTTGTTTATTGTGTCACCCCTTTCTGTTTTCTCATTTTGGAATGGGATGAGGTTTGGGGGTAGTAGAGGTATTACCATCTGGGTAAAAGCCAAATTTCCCAGAAAACTTGAAAAAAGCATTTAGGTTTACAATTCAGTGGGCTCATTTACAAATGTGCTGATGTTTGTTATTTTCCAGTAAATTAATTTACAGTTTCTTCCCTCCTTTTTTAGTTCTCACAATACCTGCATGAAAATGCGTCTTATGTCCGCCCCCTTGAGGAAGGAATGCTTCATTTATTTGAAAGTATTACTGAGGATACTGTGACTGTCCTGGTAATTTTCTTGCTTGTTTTACTTCTGGAAATGGGAACTCCATTTTATCCATTTGCACTTTTAACTTTGAGATTATTTTTTCTTTTCCAGGAGACAACTGTGAAATTGAAAACATTTTCAGAGCACCTAACGTCCTATATATGTTTCCTTAGGAAGATTCTTCCTTACCAATTAAAAAGGTACTTCTCCTGGAGGCCAGGGAACTGTGGGTGGAACCTTACTTGTGCTGAAATTAATGCAATAGTAACATGTGCCTCTTGTGATCTGCTGGACTTTTTTGCACTGCAGCTGATTTGGACTTTTGTTAAGAAGGAAAACCATGCTTGAGTAGCGTAAAATTGTATTTAAGAAAACTGAATTGTAGTTATCAGCTACATTTTTATTTTCATTAGTTTTGTACTGTGATTGCTCTTATAACCACATGATGTTATGAGAAATATTTTCAGTCATTGTGAATGGCACATTTATTGAAAGAAATATTTCATGTTGGGGGTTTGATTATCCCTTTGCTGTAAACATCAAGAAGGGAGTTATAATAGTTAACTTCTACATTTGGATCTATTATCTTTTGGTATTTTTGAGATGGTATTCTCTTGTTTTTATTATTGATGATTATTTAAGTTCTAAATGAAAAACTTCACTCAAGCCCTCATAGGATGTGTCATTTAGGAACCTTTAATGGTCTACCTTAAATATTTCCGGGAAGGAAGAAAAAAATAATATATATAAGTGTGAATTTGATAATGCTGCTTGGAAATTTTTATCTTTTATGTAAAACTAATCTAAATTTTTGTCTAAAACCACCAAGATTTCTATTTCATCCTAAGGTTTAACTTTCTTTAAACAAATGTTTTTAAAAAAAGAAAGAAAAATAGTACTTGAACATAAAAGAGATAAGAATATACTTTTTCTTTTTTTTTGGTACTGGGGATTGAACTCAGGGACACTCAACCACTTAGCCACATCCCCATCCTTATTTTGTATTTTATTTAGAGACAGGTCTCACTGAGTTGCTAAGCGCCTCACTCTTGCTGAGGCTAGCTTTGAACTGGCAATCTTCCTTATTTAGCCTCCCAAGCTGCTGTGATTACAGGCGTGTGCCTGGCTAGAATATACTTATTCTTAGCAAAATAAGGTTTAGAAAGTGTCGATTAATTACTTATAGATAATGAAAATATAACATTTTACTATTTAAAAAAAATTAACATATGTTAAGACATTTTATTTCTTAATTATAACCCAACAAAGTATTTCAGTAATTAAATTCTATGATGTGTTTGAGGGAATTTTAGGAATTAGGGGATTATAACTTAGATGAATAATTATGAATTATAATTTAATTCAGATCCTTACATGTTATATAGTTCATTACAGTTAAAATAGTTTTTGGAAATTAACTCTGGAAGTTTAACAATTAAAATCGAATATACCTTATTGATTTGGCTTGTGTTTAATAAGATTCTGTCTAAGAATCATTGCAAAAAAAAGAATCATTGCAAAATTATTATGTGAAGTAAACATTTTAATTTTATCTTACTATATTTTTTCATGATCACTTTTTTTTGGGGGGGTACAGGGGTATTGAATGGGGTGGTGGTGATGGTTAACCACTGATCCACTCCCCAGCCCTTTTTATTTTTTATTTTGAGACAGGGTCTCGCTAAGTTGCTTAGGTCCTTACTAACTTGCTGAGGCTGGCTTTGAACAATTTTGATCTTCCTGCCTCAGCCTCCTGAGCTGCTGGGATTACAGGTGTGCACCACCTTGTTGATGGCAAAGTGTATTTTTATGCATGCTAAGTAAATTTGATTTTGAAACTACTACATATATTAAAAAAGGTTTCTTGGTGAGACTCTCAGCTAGTGGCAGTGACAGTAGTAATAGTTCTTGTTTAATTCTCTTTAGGAATTCAATATATGCAATGTTTTTTTTTTTTTCCTCCCTGTAAATAAAGGATTTAAAATATTTAACATTTAAAAAATTCTAAGGCTTTTATACTGCTTTCAGGTTGGAAAGATGATAGGCATATGCCTTGATATTTTCTTTAAAAAATTTTTTTTGATACTGGGAATTGAACCCAGGGGCTCTTAAGCACTAAACTACATCCTAATCCCTTTTTATTGGAGGCTGGCCTCAAACTTGTAGTCCTCCTGCCTTAGCCTCTTGAGTTGTTGGGATTTTTACAAGCATGTGCCACCATGCCCAGCTAGGTTTTCTTCTCTTTAGTCCTCTGTTACTCCATTGGCATTTGCACCAAGCAATTTTGTGTATCATGGTGCATGAAAAGGAGCCATGTAAACATAAGGTCAAATTTCTCTTTCTACCAAAATCTTTATTTGGATATGATCATTAAGAGAACTTAGATGATTTCTAATAGCTAATTGAAAGTTGTTCAGGATGCTCATTTTCAAAAAATCTGCCCGTTCCTAGTTTAGAAGAAGAATGTGAATCTTCTCTTTGCACATCTGCATTAAAAGCCAGAAATCTAGAGCTGTCTCAGGACATGAAAAAGATGACAGCTGTGTTTGAGAAGTTGCAGACTTATGTCACTCTTCTCGCCTTGCCAAGTAAGTGTGTTTATTACTTATGGTTCAAACTGAAGGACTTAAAAGCACAATAACCTGGAAAGGGGAGATGATTTAGCTTGATAGAATAAGAGGAGACTAGGATCTAGAGTTAGAAAAACTGGAATTCAAATCCTCTGGCCTCCTGGACAAAACATTTTACCTCTGTGTGCCTCTGTGTTCCCATTTGTAAAATGGAGGTAATGTTTTGATTATTAAGAATGTAAAATATTAGGCATTAAAGCATACATTAAATATCATCCCCTTTTTGCTCTTCCTCTTTTTAATGGAGAAGAGCAAGTCATAAGAATTTGTAGCAGCTTTCCAACAAGTAGCACAGGGAAGTTTTAGTAGTAAAGATACCATTTGTTTCTCTTGGCCCTAATTTGAAAAAAGCATTTTTAGGTAATTTTAGTGAACTTTATTTTCAGTGATGTATTTCAGAATGCTATAATTTTCCTGGTAATCTGATTTTTTGTTTGTTTTTAAACAGCTTTCTTTCTGATATGTTATACATTTTACCCACTTAAAGTGTATAATTCAATAGTTTTTAGTATATTCACAGACGTATGCACCATGAGTAGGAATTTTTTTGATACTTTTCATTACCTCTTTAGCTTTCACCCTTATATTTTCCAATTCCTCATTTCCCTAGCTCTAAGCAATTACTGATCTGCTTTCTGTCCATAGATTTGCCTAATCTAGATACTTCATACTAATGCAATCATAGTATGTGGTCTTCAATGGAATTATATAATATGTGGTCTTTTGTGATTGTTTTCTTTCACTTAGCGTAGTGTTTACAAGATTCATTCAAATTATAGCAGGCATTGGAACTTTATTCCTTTTTATTGCAGAATAACATTCCCTTGTATGATGTACATATTTTATTTACCCATTCATTAGGTAATGGACATTTGAGTTGCTTTGGCTATTATGAATAATGATGCAATAGACATTCATGTGTGAGTTTTATGTGGTCATATCTTTTCATTTTGTTTGGGTGTATGCTGATAGGATGGAATTGTATCATATGATAACTATGTTTAACTATTTAAGGAATTGCTAGACTGTTTTCCAAAGTGCTCTACCAACAATTTTTGCATTCCTACCAACAATGTTTGAGAGTTCTGTTCTCCACATTCTCCCTAACACTTATTATTATCTTTTTGAGTTTAGCCATCCTAGTGGGTGTGAAGCAATAAGTCATCGTGGTTTTACTTTGTATTTCTGTGCTAATGATGTCAAGTATCTTTTCATGTGTTTATTGGTCATTTGTATGTTTTCTTTGGTGAAAGATCTATTTGGACCCTTTCCCTTTTGTAATTGGGTTGTCTTTTTACTATTGATTATAAGAGTTTTTAAAATATATATTCTAGATACAAGTTCTTTATTAAATGTATGATTTGCTACATTTGTCTTTTATTTTGTGAATTGTCTTTTCACTTTCCTGATAGTATCCTTTGAAGAGCAAAATTTTTTAATCTTGATGAAATCATTATCTGATTTTTCTTTTGTTGCTCCTGGTTTTGATGTCATATATAAAAATTGATTGTCAAATCTGAGGTTATAAAGACTTATATTCTAAGAGTTTTATGGTTTTAGCTCTTGCATTTAGGTATCTGATCTATTTTGAGTTAATTTTTATATGTAATGCAAAGTAAAGATCCAGTTTCGTCTTTTGCATGTTGTGTCCAGTTGTCCCTCCTTCACTTGTTGAAAAGATAATCCTTTCCCTGTTAAATGGTCTTGGTATCTTTATTGAGAATCAGTTGACCATAGATGTATGGGTTTATTTCTGGATTCTTGATTCTATTTCATTGTTCCTTATATGTCTCCTATGCCAGTACCACACTGTCTTGATGGTTGTTACTTTGTAGTAGGTTTTTGAGATCAGGAAGTGTGAGTCCTCCTGTTTTGTTTTTCTTTTTCAAAATTGTTTTGTTTTGCAGGATCCCTGATAATTCCATGTGAATTTTAGTATTGGCTTGACAGTTTCTACAATAAAGTCAGCTAGGATTCCGATGGGAATTGCATTAAATTTATGGATCAATTTGGGGAGTGGGTTGACTTGTATCCTCAAAAAAGATATGTGACATTCTAACCCCAAGTATGTATGTGTATGACTTTATTTGGAAATAGGGTTTATAGGTGTAATCAAATAAGGTAAGGTAATACTGGAAGAGCCCAAATACAACGACTGGCATCCTTATAAGGGAAAGGAGATTTGGAGACAGAGACCTAAGGGAGAATGATGCATAAAGACAGAGGAGGGATCGTGGTTGCCCTACTACCAGCTAAAGAACACCTGGGGTCTGTGGAACCTGGAAGAGGCAAGAAAGCATTCTCCTAGAAGTTGTTGGTAATAGCATGGCCCTGCCAGCATTTTAAGTTTGGACTTCTGGCCTCCAGAACTTTGAGAAAATAGATGTCTCTTGTTTTAAGTCACCCATTTGTGGTATTTTGTAACAGTAGTCCTAGAAAACTTACAGGGAATATTGCCATCTTAACAGCATTAAGTCTTGTGATCCATGGACATGGCATGTTTTTCCATTTATATATATCTTCTTTAATTTCTTTAAACACCACTTTCTTGTTTTTAGAGCATAAGTTTTATACCTGGATGCTGCTTCTCAGAGGGTTCAGCCTTGCACATGCACACTGTCATCTGGGATGACAGTGGTTTTGGCAGGGCTCTCCTTTGCTGTCTCCTTCCTAATTATACCCTGGCTGATTACTCTTGTGTTTCCAGAATGCCTTGGGGCACAAATTGATAACAGGATGATCCAATTAAATTTGGTCTTAAAGTTATGTGTGTAGTTATAGACCTAGCATATAACTAGCAGGTAGAGGTTTTGAGGTCAATGTTTGAAATTTGTTCTGATCCCAGGAGGGCTTTTCTTGATACTTCTTTTCTAGTTTTCTCTGGTAAGCCAGCCTACAGTTTAGCTTCAATTTCTAGTGAACCTACAAGTTGCCCCTGTGCTTTTACCACAGGCTCCAGTTTTTGAGAGCCTTAGGCTTGAACTTCTCCACATACTGTCAGCTCCTTTGAAAAGAGGTTCAGAGCTCTTATTTTCAGGACTGCTTCTCCCCAAGGCAAAAGTCTCTGAGCCATGGTTCTGGGGCTGGGGACAGTGGGGACAGCACTTCTCTCTGAGAGCTTGGTGGAAGTGGTAGAGCAGCAAACCAGGACTCCTTGGCCTACCATTAAGTCTTCATGGATCAGAAGACTTAATATTATTAAGATGGAACTTTGAAAATCCTGTTGCTCAGCAGGGGCAAGGGTGATGAGAGACCCAATTCTCAGTGCCGTGTTCAGCTGGAATCTTCATCTCTGGAGCAGGGGCTGGGCAGAAAGGGAACACTTCTCACCTCTTGGCTGCATTTGTCCAGAATTTAGCCTTAGCAACAGGTAGCTGGGGACACGATGAGCTCTCCGGCCCCTGAGCCAGGAGTTAGAAGAATTGGAGTGCTGTGTGCTTGGCTGAACTTGAGGTTGAGATGGTGTTTCTTAACTTCCAGGAGCTGGTAAGGGAAGGGAAGCAATATGTCTTGTTTTAAATACACAGACTCTTGCTGTTCTTGCTGAGTTGTTACAAATTTTCATGAGTAAGTGTTTCTTCATTTGTTATGTGTCCTTAGAACCATTTCCTGAAACTTTGAATGATTGCTTTTTTGTAGTCATCACCAGTTTTGTGGGGAGCAGATCCAGAGAGCCCCTCATGCTGTTATGCCAGAAGTAGAACTCCATGATGTTTGAATAATAATGTTTTAGTGATATTCAGCAAAAAATAATGTGTGGGGAATGAAAAAAAGCAAGAAACTTGTTATGTAGTAACAAGACGAAAATTCACAGACTATTAAGACATATTCCTGCTTAGCAGATTTAATTTTTGGTTCTTAACTAGTAAAAATGTTTGTGGACATGAGAAATCCAAACCAGTTAAAATGTTCCTGTGTTTATTTATCACCATTATGTATGAACATGTCTGTTAAGGTTTTTAAGGACCATTGTTTCCAACACATTACAGGCAATCTTTACTCTGTATCTTCTTCCAAATAGAGGGAGATGGTGGACAGGAAAATGCTTAAGTTTGTGATTTTGGTTTTCTAGGTACAGAACCAGATGGACTCCTTCGGACAAACTATAGTTCTGTCTTAACAAATGTTGGTGTTGCTCTGCATGGATTTCATGGTGTCATGAAAGGTAAGCCTTGAAAAAGAACTTAAATAAGCTTAAAACCTTCATCCCACTTCTCAGATCTGTCTGAATGAGATTTAAACAAATACTGCCAAGGGTTAGAGATCCTAGATAAAAGGCTTAGCAGCATTTGGCTTACATAAAAGTGCACAGCTATTCTGCCTTCTGCTTTTCCCATCTGCTTGGTTTCTGAAGGTAAACAAAGTGCTGAATAGAAAACCCTGTGCACTGTACATTAGCCAGAAAGACATTACCCCTACTAAATGCAGGTAGATGGATTTTACCAAACAAGACATGCTATTTCAGAGGCATTTAACAAAGTATTTTACACTTGTTAGAGCCCAAGCATGAAAGAATTGAAAAAACTAAGGTTAAAGTTCAAAAAAGAATACATCTGTGCATTTTGATGTTTAAAATGCCTAATTCCTGTCTCATTCAGCATAGCTTTAAGAAATGAAGATGTTTTTAAACCTTGGTCAATTTATTTCTTTTGTGCTTTTAAGAATATACTATGTTGGTAGGCAGAGTGTAACTTTTTAAAGTATTTCATATGATTCTTTGTATGTGATTCTGAGCCTTGACCAATCAGTAGTTCTGTGTTGCTTCTAGATTTCTCTACTCCTTTCTTTTCCTTTTAGAAACTTGGGGTCGGGGAAGGAGAACAGGCAGGAGGGATTATTAAGTACTATTAGAAGTAACCAGGTGCCCAAATGATTTATTGTGATGTTTAGTTAACAATTAGTAACTCCTTTCACAAACAGTAATTTTAAAAACTTAAAGCTATTGTATATAACATGTGTAAGAGGGGTATGCTTGGTACCCTCTTACAGATTGTTAAACATCTATGGCACTGAGATTCATTCTTCATCCCAGCAGCATTACCAAGCAGCATTTTGCCATCGTCTGGAGAATGGGACTTCCTTGGGAACTTTAAAAGTCAGTGTATCTCTAGAGGTATCCCTGGTTTCAGGAATCATTGCTTGATTGATCATTGGTAGTTTCAGTGGCACTTCACAGTAGTCAATCCCAAACCTGCAGAACTTAATCTGATCTGTAGAAAACATAATAAACAGGTACTGTTTTTTTCCTATGCAACTTGTGGTTTGAGGAGCTGGGACTTAGCTTTAGTAGGTCATTCCAGAACTTTTTTTTTTTTTTTTTTGGTACCCTGGTTTGAACCCAGGATTGAATAACCAATGAGTGCCACATCCCCAGCCTGTTTTTTTTTTTTTTTTTTTTTAATGTTTTATTTTGAGACAGGTTATCACTAAGTCTTTAGGGCCTCATTAAGTTGCTGAAGCTGGCTTTGAATTCATGATCCCCCTGCTTCAGCCTCCTGAGTTAGTGGGATTACAGGCGTGCACCATTGTGCCTGGCTCCAGAACTTTTCTTTAAACAGAGTTCTAGGCCTTTGAAACCACAAGTACCTCTATGACTCCAGGTTTCTTGGTTTTTAAATTTCCAAAGGAATATTATTATTTGTTCCTGCTAGCAGTTTCTTCAGAATTTCTAAATAGGAGATACTAGAGCAGTGGATGATAGCTACCTAATTGAAAGGGATCTTAACATTTCATTTACATAAAAAAATCTTGATTTTTCTTATATTGCTATTTTAATTTATCAACCAACAAAGTTCTCTAATACTTTTGTTCATACCTTATATAAGATAGAGAAGATGCCAAGTATCAAAGTGTGCTACTATTATTGTTTGGTGTGAGCTGATGGAAAATATGGGATGGTCAGAAACCTCCTTATTCCTTTATGTCACCATGTGTTTCTTTCCTTGAAGATGAATAAATATAAAGAAAGAATGTTGGAAAACTTTAAGAATGTTGACAAGTAGGTTTAGAGCCATGTTGCTAGATTTACAGTTCAAATCTGTTTTCATATCTAGCTTGGAAGACTGTTGCATATCTTTCATCAAATCTGAGAGCATTAACAGAAGAATCTTTGTTTTTAAGAGAACTCTTATTTCAAACTTCTGCCCTTCCTGCTTTCCCCCAAATTATTGCTTAATCAAATTTGGAAGTAAGAGGGGAAGATGAGGAGGTAGGTTAGTAGATTGTTCTCAGTGTAAAAACAAAGATAGGGAGGGAGTTATAAAAGTGTTTATCTTATATAGAATTAAAATGGGAATAAACTAATTTTTTTTTCATAAAATAAGCAATTTACTCATAAATGATTCATTTATTCATAAAATAAATCAATTTTCACAATTTTTATTACCAATCAAAAATGTTTTCACCACAAAGAATTATAGGAACTAATTTTTAACAAGTGGCATTCTATATGAGAATGATTTGATTTTTGGTCTCAGAGACATCCAAAGCAAGTAGATTCATAGAAAACATAAGAGGAAAAAATAAATACATGGTCTTGGTCATGTGATTCCTTTGTACTTTTTGGAGCTAAAATGGCTAAAATATTTGGATCAAACAATGAGTAAACAATTGGGTTGGGAGAATTATAGTCAAACTCCAATAGCACTGTTTAGTATTGTACCTCTTTCATAAGTATCTCAAATTATCTATAACTATAAAGGTCTAATAAAAAAATAGTACCTCAATTACCTATTAACAAACCAAGATTGCCTGCTAACCAACTTGTATTATAACATTGTATACTTCCAGAAAAATATTGAATAAAACTGTGTGTAGCAAGAAAATGTCTGTTTAGGTGTTAGCATATTCAGTATACAAATAAATTTCACTATTTTAACTGAATTTTTGTACTTGGAAACCTTATAAAATATATAGAGATTATCATTTATTTAAAAAAATATGGACTGGGGTTGTAGCTCAGTGGTAGAGCGCTTGCCTAGCATGTTGAGGCTCTGGGTTTGATTCTCAGCACCATGTATAAATAAATAAAGGTCCATTGACAACTAAAAAAGTATTTAAAAAATATATTTATTGAACATAATAGTAATGTACCTATTGGTTAGTTCCCTTACTGTAACAACTTTCATGTAGTAAGTAAGATGTTAATAAGAAGGAAAACTGACTGAAATGTATACAGAGACTATTAAGAAATTTTCTCAAAACTGAGACTATACTAAATTAAAGATGTATACAGGTATGTAGACTGTATAAATAATATGTATTTATTAACTAAACAGTTCCTTAGTTTTAAAATTTTAGTGAAAATAATCTTTCATAGAATATAGTAATTTGGTATGAAAATATGAAAGTATTAGGTTAAATCTTTTATACTATTTCTTTCCAAATAGTCTTATTTCTTCTTTTAATTATGCATAATGTAAAATCAACTAAATTTCTTGATTTTGAATAAATGAAATTCTTTGCGTATATAATTTCTATAACAGTAAATTTTCATGTTTCATGGTTTATTTTTATCTTTGAGGTAATGATAGTTAGTGTTCTTTGAAGTAGTCTAAGAAATTCAGTGAAAACTGTATTGTAAATATTTATTACTTAAAAGTGTAATCACCCTTCACTATAAATCAATGTTGTCATAATAATCCTCCCATTTTCCCTTATTTCCAGGGCAAAATCATTATATATTTCAGAGACCCAGAAAAACTCCAAAACTTAGCTCTTTGACTAGTCTCACTGCAATTTCTCTTAGCCCTTTTCTGTGCTTTTTAGCCACAGACCTTTGTTGTAATATTATTGGACTGGAAGTAATAGCACATGAAGCAGACATTGAAGTATCCAATCCTTATTTGGCTGTGCAGACATTTCTTATTGCTAGTGTGTGTATCAGCAAATTACCTAAGGTCCAGTATGGATTGTGGGACATCATGCCTATGTTGGCTGTTCTAGCCTCAGGGTTGCTTAGATAATTATAAGATAATTTCTTGTTAGTGCCTGTTAGACTGTCAAAACAGTGGTTTCTAAGTGGTAAATCCTGGTCAGGATCATTTGCCTAATGCTAGAATAAGGGCTAGTCCTCACATGATTAACAATCAGACTGATCGGCTGGTGGCTATAGTCAAGACAGCCAAGGTAGTGTTAAGAAATACTTATTTCTCCCTTCTTTCTCTGGAATTTGTGGCCTACTTGATAATATTCAGCACAATCGTGATACTTGGGACCATTCTTTGTCAAATTTACTTTATAAATTTGTAAGAGTAGTGAGTGGGCTGATTATCTATATGTGAACTTGTGTATAGATAGTAATGAGTTTTCATTTGATTGCTTTTATAGATATTTCTAAACATTATAGTCAAAAAGCTACAATAGAGCATGAACTTCCAACAGCAACACAGAAGCTGATAACAACGAATGATTGTATCCTGTCATCCGTAGTGGCATTAACAAATGGAGCAGGAAAGGTAATTATTTTCTGGCTTATGTTGACAATTCTAAATTTTTTTTTTTTTTTTTTTTGGTAAAATATAGTTGTTCCTTTTTCCTCCTTCCTCCCCCATATTTATTTATTTTTATTTAAAAACATTTTCAGCTTTCTTCAGGTTGAATTATCTACTCAATGTTTAAAACAATATGGCAGTGATTGTTTGGTATTTGTGGTGAGTAGATCACTCACTGGTCATGTCAATGCAAGGTTGAATGATTTGAAGATTCTGTATAGTCTCAATATCTCAATATAGATTCTTCAGGAGTCTGTTACATAAAGCAATGGAAACATTCAGAGAAAGCAAAAAAATCACCCAATACAACCTTTGTTAATATTTTGGCTTTTTTTTTTTTTTCCCCTCATACTATACCCACCCCTTGGTACTAGGTATTTAACCAAGAGTGCTTTACCACTGAGCCCCAGCTCAAGCCCATTTTATTTTTTATTTTGAGACAGGGTCTTGCTAAGTTGATTAGAGCCTCGCTTCTCTCATAGTATTTTGGTAACAGTTGTGACAGTGGTGCTTTTGTATCTTAACAATTCCTTTGAAGCAGCTTCAATATGTATCTTTCATTGAACCCTTAATATTAGGTTATGATTGTTTGTGTCATTAAGTACTTAATTATTACTATAAATTGCAGTTTCTTTAAAAATCTTATGATTGTGGATATTGTAATTTCATCAGAATTCATATTTTCAGAGTCATGCTGTCATTGATATCTTTGATAAGATGTCTTGGAGTAAGGCACCTGACCAGCACGGGCAGCTGAACTAAGGTCGCTTGTGTGAATTTGTGGTGGAGCAAATTAAAACATAGACACAATTTACCTTTACATAAGCTTCAGGACGGCTTCCCCAGGCTCTCGGCCTTAGGCTCCCCAAAAGGGAGAGCAAGAGAAAGTCATGAGAGGCTGATGAGAGACAGAGAGAGAGCACATTTGGAACTCAGCTTTTATTGTGGGGGGAACTGTTCTTAGAAAGTTTTATCCATAAAAGGGCAGAAGGGGTAGGATTACAAGGGAGCAGGTGAATGTAACAACCTCAGGGGTACGCCTACACCTGATGACCTGCCTTGCTATCCGAGCTGGTTCAATGCCCAAGTCACCATGAATATAGAGATTGGTCAGAGCCTCCTGCTTCAGGACTTGAAGTTGTAGTCATTCAGAGTGGCTCCCCACATTGGAGACCTTACCATGTATATAAAACCAAAAGACTATTCAGAACTAACTTAGCCCATTTATTTCAGCAGCTCAACATAATTTCTAAAGGAAGTTCTCATCTCTATATCTATATTTATACATCATTGTTTTTTCTGATGGGTTGATCCTAATAATAAGAGATTTTTCTTGAAGTGGTTTAAATCAATCCGAAATGATTGTAGGTCATGTTAGATATTCAGTGTCACTTTTCCTGAATTTTGACTGATCTTTGTGACCATTTGTTGTAGCTTAGGGCCATAATTAAGAAGTGTTATCTTTAGGTTCAGTCAATTCACATATTTGTGCCTACCGGATTCCTGAGCCATAGAACCATCCCCACTGCTTTCTTTTATCTCCTTCATTTACAGCATGCCAGAAGCTTACTGAGGACAACTTTGATTGAATTAAAAATTCTGGAAAAAGTTGATATTTTATAGGCATCTCTGCATTTGTTGTCTTTTATAAAAACACTGAAATATTAAATACCTGCATATTTCACAGTTTATTTTAGCTTTGCTCTTCCTGAAACCTTAAAATGTTATTTCAGGCAAAGGTATGTATCTGATCTTTGCTCTGGAGTTTTTATAAATGTTTTTTAACCATTACTATTTGAACTGGTGTTTGTTGGTGAAATCCTAATAATAAGCAAATATGATTTGATTAAACTAAATTTTATAGTTTGTAATAATAAACACAACAGGAAGGGATAGCATATATATATTAAAGGAAGTTTGAAAAATGGAAAAATATTAGAAGAAAGAAAATTTACCTCACAGTATACTAACATGACTTAAAATTAGGTGTTGGGTGTGTCCCTGCATTCATAGGGAATATAGCTCAAGATTTTTGGAGGCTGGGGGTGTAGCTCAGTGGTAGAGCACTTGCCTGGTGTATGTGAGGCAGTGGGTTTGATCCTCAGGATCACATAAAAATGAATAAGATGAAGGTATTATGCCCATCTACAACTAAAAATATTCTTGAAATACCCATTTATTTGACATAATAAAATATTATTATATATACCCTCAGACAATAGTGATTAATTGCTTAATTTTAGAGTAGGTTTTTTGGTAGGGAGGTGGTTATTGGAGATTGAACTCAGGGGCATTCAACCTTGAGCCACATCCCCAGCCCTATTTGTATTTTTTTAGAGACAGGATCTCACTGAGTTGCTAAGTGCCTCACGGATGGTGAGACTGGCTTTGAACTCATGATATTCCTGCCTTACCCTCCTGTACCCCTGGAATTCCAAGTGTGAGTCACCATGCCTCGCTTAGAGTAGTTTTTAACCAAGGTAATGTACTCTACTCACAAGCCATTTTTTTCAGATTTATCAAGATAGGGTATTCTTTAATGTCTTCAAGACTGATTTTTCTGGCTAGGACAGTTAGCCAGATGTTTTTATTTGTAATACATTTCATACAGCACTGTAAATTCAAATCATGGCTCAGCAAAATTAAAGTTATGGCTCTTTGTGGCTGTTTGTATAGATTTAACAATTTGTTGAATCTGTAAATGACAAGAATCTATTGGATTTTTACTCTTTCTTCTTTTATAATTTACAAATTGAGATTTACAAACTAAATTTAGGTAGAGATTACATATTCAAGGTACTGTCTTCTGTAAGAATGTGAAATATTTAGTTAAAATGCAAATGAAATGAATAAACCCAAATGTGGATATTTTGAAATCAGTGTAGAAATTACTAAAATAAACAGCTCATAAAAGTCACCTACAGAATACATCAGAATGAGTCTTGGTTTTCAATAAGAATAGAAATTGTCTAGAATAGGACATGTCAGAAGTCAGTTCTGAGTATTTGTAGCTATATTCTCTTTATTATCTATCATTGTCCAGGAATTGTTCTCACATAAATAAATATGGGCTGCCGGGCAGGTTTTGGAATTTCATTTCCATTCTCAGCATCTTTAAACTGCTCTGAAAGCTATTAGTTATAAATTCTAGATTATTGTTGGAAAACAAAATTTATCTTCTTGTCACACTTTGTTTAGATTGCATCTTTCTTCAGCAACAATGTGGACTACTTCATTGCTTCACTGAGCTACGGGCCTAAGGCGTCAAGTGGATTCATTAGTCCTCTTTCAGCAGAATGTATGCTACAGTACAAGAAAAAAGCTGCTGCCTATATGAAGGCTTTAAGAAAGGTTTGTGAGCTGCTTTTAACATTTAAATGAAGGAAAATATTAGGAATCATTCCAGAGAATGGTAGTAGATTTTTTCCACAGTCCATATTATTTAGATTTTTTTTTTTTTTGTACTGGAAATTTAACCAGGGGTGCCTGATGCTGGCCTCCTGCCACAGCCTCCCGAGTTGCTGAAATTATAGGCATGCACCACTACACCTGTCTATATTATTTAGATTTTACAAAATTTTGGGGTATAGGTGGTTGGTGGTGTTAGAATGGATCTTTGGGGAAGAGAAGGTGGCAGAGACCCAAACCATACTTGGTAAGCACAGGTCATGTTGGACTTGTGTCCCTAGTGCCAGGTAGAATGCCTGGGGTGAGGTAACCTGGCAAGCAATAAATACCAGATGTCAAAAGTCTATCTTAAACTTGTAGAATCAGAAAAAAAATTAAATGTTCATAATTTTTTCTAAGTAGTGATGATACATTGTCATTTCCAAAAAAAAAAAAAAAAAAAAAAATTGGAAGATATAGTATTATGTTAAGAAGAAAATTATGATCTCCCCAAATCCACCACACAAATGTAGCTACTCTTCACTTTGTTAGAATATACCTCTGTGTAAAAAAAAATTAACATGGATGCACACATGGATGTATGTACCCACATGTGCTATAAACAGCAAAATGTATCTAGCTGCATCTGCTATTTTAGAATTTTTTTCTGTTACTGTATTGTGAATATGTTCATATGTACATCAAAAATAGATATCTATAATGTAAATTACTATCATCATTTTAACACCTGTGTAATATTTCAGTCATAAATGTAATAATTTGACCATTCTATTGCATATGAATATGTAGGTCATAGCCTATTTTTCACTGTTATATGCAGTGCTGCAATGGGTTCTTGTATATGCAACTTTGCATTTATTTTTTTCTGTGATTCTTTAAAATTTTTATTTTCCTTTTGTTTTAAAAAAATTTTTAATACAGTGCTGGGGGTTGAACCCAGTTTCTTGCCATGGTAGGCAAGTGCTGGACCACTGAACTGTCTTTAATATTTAATTACAAAATAGACAAATACATTCTTATTTTAAATTAGAACATTACAGGTAATATCCCTAATTCCAGTTTCTATCCAGAGGCACCTATATATATATCAGTTTGGTGTGTAACAATATATAGAATTCTTTCTTTTTATTAGTTCCTTCTTTTTTAAACATAATGCAAGATTTGTTGTGCATTTAAAATATATTTTAGCCATTTATGACATTATATGTGATGCCTGCTACATTCCTTTTGAATACAGTATAGAATTTTATAAGATGAATATTCCATGGTTCATTAAGTTTCCCTTAATTGGCAGGCATTAAGGTTGATTCTAATTATTTTTATTGTCTCAGTAATACTGCATTACTGAGCCAGCCTTGTAAGTATCTACTTGGACACATGTGTGGAATACTGAGAAGTAGAATGTTTTGAGCCTTGTGGTTTGCACATTTTAAGTTTTAATGGTTACTGCTAAATTTCCCTTCAGTGTCAATACTCTGTATAATGTATAACTCAACCTATCTCCCCATATTTATCTAATTGTTTTAGTTATATCTTTATGATTGATTCTCCAAAATGGAATTGCTGATTGAAAGTTTGTTAATGTTTCAAATTTTGGCACCTTTCTTAGACTATACTTCAGGAAAGTTATTTATTTACAGCTTATAGTCATGTGAATTTAACCCATAAAATTAATATTTGTCAATCTCAGAGGAAGGGTTTCTTACTGTTATTTTGATTTGTGTATCTTTGGTTATTTATGAAGTTGAATGTCCTCTCATAATTGTCATTTGTATTTATTCTGTAAATTCTCTGTCCAAGCTTTTTACACATTTAAAAAAATATATTTCTAACTAAGGTTGAAAGAACTTCTTATATGTTAAGAATTTGGGTTGAGAAGTCTGTAGCCCAGTAGAAGAACACATGCTTTACATGCTAGTGCAAGGCCCTGGTTTCAACTCCCAGTACCACCCTCCACCAAAATAAATAAATAAAATAAATAAAGTTAATATCAGATCTTTTTGGTGGTCTTTCTCAGCTAGGGTACTTTGCAAAAGTTATGGAATTATTCTCCCAATTTTTTTGTCATCTAAATTTTTAGATCTTTCATCTAGAATTTATTCTGGTACAAGATGTGACAAAGATCTTGGTTCTTTTTCTAGATAATTACATGGTGTCCTTGCACCATTTATGTAGTTCTTTATCCATTGAACTAAAAATGTAGTGTTTGTCACATAGTAGATTTTTATGTATGCTTTTGTCTGTCTCTGGATTTTCTGTTCTGTTGTTGATCTGTATTTTGGTGCAAGTCCATATAGTGTAAGTTAGTGTATCTTATAGTTGGTATAATAAGTTCTCTTTCATTATTGTCTTTTTAAAATACAAATATATTCTTTCACATGCATTGAAGGAAATAATCTATGTTGTTGTACATCTGAACTTATTATCATACCCTATTATCCAGCATTCTTATTTGTGCATGTAGGATCCAGGGGGAAGATGATGCAATATTTTTCTTTGAATTCTTATTTATTTATTAATTCTATGGTGCTTTTCACATAGCCCCTCTTGGAGTCTGTGCCTTATGAGGAAGCACTGGCAAACCGCCGGGTCCTTCTCAGCTCTACTGAAAGTCGAGAAGGCCTTGCACAACAGGTATGGCACCCGGAAAATGATGGAGAGCAGAAATGCTAGATCCTCTGGAGAAGGGTTTTTAAGGCATATAGGGTGCTGACTGATTCAAAAAAACTACATTAGTAAACATATAATCTATAAAGTTTTCTATACATGCTAAAAAGGGCCATAGGTATAATTTGTTGAATAATCTGTTGATATTCTAAAAAAGTCTTCTTAGTTCAGTTGGTGTTTCATTTGGCACTAGAATGATATTAACATACTTTGGCCATGATGATTAATTCTTAAGGTGCTAGATTTAAATGTCTGAAATACTAAGGTATCAATGGGGTGGGGGGGCCTGGAGACTCAGTAGATTATTTTCATTTCTTCACTGAACAAGAATGGGAAATTTCTAGTATATAGTTGGTCAGTTGAATTTGGGGGCAAGTGAGAATGGGAGGTACTATCTCTTTCAGAAACTGGTACAAACTGAAATCAGTATAGCTATTTTCAAAGATTTATTCACTTCAGCGGCTGGCTTTTAGTTCTGGAAAAACTTGGTTTTAAAGAGAGTACAAATAAATTTACCAAGACAACATTTTGTGAGTCCTGACCTTACTTTAATAAGAAACACATATCCACTTATCGTTTCAACATTAATGTGTTAAGGTATTAGGACTAAAAATTTCATCCACAAAGTGATTTTTAATAAACAAAGTTTCCGTGGCTGTAAAACCAATGTGATACTGCAGTCTGTACACGTGGGAAAAAAAAGAATTCATACCCCACTTGAGTCAAATGTATGATATGTCAAGATCATTGTAATGTTTTGAGCAGCTAATTAAAAAAAATAAATAATAATAATAATAAAAAACAAAGTTCCTCAGACACTGTAAAATGTAGAATACCTTAAAAATTAATTTTGGGTTTTTTCCTTTTTTTAATGTAAGGAAAGTAAGGCTCAAAAGAAATTAAGTAAATATTAACCAGAATAGCTATATGAAAGTGGCAGAACTGCCTCACCTCAGAGCTCATGTTTTTCCCACTGTACCTTCGACCAGCTATGGGCTGGTCTGACAAGCACTCTAGTCTTCCCTTCTTGCCTCTCTAAAGTGAGAACACGTGCCTTTTAGGGTCTTGTAAGCATGCTTTGATCCAGTGGGAGGCAGTGTGATATAGGAAAAAGAAGTCAACTTCTCAAATAGGCATACGGGGCCCCAAATTCTGGCTCTTCCTTTTCTAGCCTAGCAGATGGTCTAACTGCTGGGAGCGTTAGTTCTCCTCTTTGATAAATCAGAATTGTTGGGCTGTTGAAGGCTTCAGTGGGACAAGAGGAAGAAAGTACCACAAATGGTGCTTGGTACATGGAAATTGCTCAATTGTGATAGTTGGTAAAGCATGTGTATTCTCTATAAGATCACTATTTTTTTAGATAATTCTCAAGTTTTTATTTGCCCTAACAGGTATGTCTTAGCTTCTTATTATAATATAACATACTTAGAGAAAAATATACAAATTGCTAGTGCACATCCCAGTGAATTTTTATAAGTTAAATACACTGCACCTAGATTTAAAAGTGGTGTGTGTGTGTGTGTGAGAGAGAGAGATTTCTCTGTGTAAGGTATGCCTTGGAAAAAATAATCAGAATTCCTGAAGCCTTACTCATGCCCTTTTCTAGTTACTACTCTCCTCTCCCCCAAAGAAAATAATCATCCTGCATTCTAATACCATAGATTGGTTTTATTGCATGATATGGAACTGTTTATTAAATGATTTTATACTGTATGTACTCTTTCAGTCCTGACTTTTTTCATTTAGCATTATATGAATGAAAGTTCAAATTGTTCTACAAATACTTTTGTATTTTCTGTCTTTTGCATTGTAGTCAAATAGATGGTTTAAATTGCTTTTTCTTGATAATTAGTGATATTGAGCACCTTCTTCTATGTTTATAGTCTTGATCCAGTGCCTGTCCAAGTCTTTTGTTGTTGGTGGTATTATTTTTGCCTTTTTCACTATTAGTTATCTATCTTTTTCTTATTGATTAGTAAGAATTCTTCATATGTTCTAGGTATTATATAAAATATATCTGTTGGATAAAGAATTTTTTATATGTTCTGGGATAAACGTTTACACATTCTTCTATTCTTTGGCTTTCCTTTCACTCTCTAGATGAAGTCTTTTGATGAATAGAGATCTTTTTTTATTGTGTGTCAGTTCTGTTTCTCATTTTATGGTTGTGCTTTTTGTATCCTATTTAATAAATCTCTCCCCATTCCAGTGTCAGATTTTATTTTTTTTAACCTCTGTGAGGGAGTTTTGCTTTATATTGCGTATTTTATTTATTTATTTTTGCCACTAAGTTTTGTCTGCATTATTCTCTAAGATGCAAAACTCTGTGTGACTTTTCAAGGTTCAACAGAGTTTGGAAAAGATTTCTAAACTGGAACAGGAAAAAGAACATTGGATGTTGGAAGCACAGTTAGCCAAAATCAAGCTAGAGAAAGAAAACCAACGGATCGCAGATAAGCTGAAGAGTACAGGTAGCGGCCAGTTTGTTGGGCTGGCCCAAGAAAATGCTGCCATGTTGAGTGCTACTGGCCAAGGTGAAGCTGTAGCCAAGGCTGTGTTGGAGCCTGTTCAGAGCACCAGTCTGGTAAGTGTCTTTGTGGTTGCGTGCTTAAATGCTAGTTGGTATCGGTTTATCCTTGGGTTTAAAACCATTGTCTTGGTTCACTCCAGTTGCTACAACAAAATAACATAAGCAGGGTGCTATAAACAATAGTTTATTTCTCACAGTCCTTGAGGCTGGGAATTCCCAAGATCAAGGCACCCACAGATTTGATATCTGGTGGGTGTGTTCCCTAGTTCATATATGATCATCTGTTACTGTGTTCTCACATGGTGGAGGGCAAACAGGTTGTCTGAGTCTCTTTTGCAAGGGTACTAATTCCATCAGGTCACCTCCCAAGGTTTGTATCTGTTAATATCATCACCTCAGGGCTTAGGATTTCAACATAAGAATTTTGGGGAGACACAAACATTCAGACTATCACAACTATCTAAATTACATGTCATTCTATAACAGGAATGATACATATGCTATAGGAAAAAAATGCAGGTTAATAAGCAGGATGCCTCCTTGATAAGGCAACTCCACTAAATTCCTTGTGATTTTACATGAGCCCTTATGATGAGAACTGTGTTCCTGAAAGAGATAAAGGAAGTCAAATTTAAGATGATTTTGTTTTTCCATAAAAACACTTGAAATATGTGATTATGTTTCTAAGGACCAAATGCCTAACTATTTTAATAGAAATGACCACTAATACAATTTTTAACCAATTACATGGTACACCTAAGAGTATAAAGCTCTGTAACATACATATAACATAGAAACCCATCAGGCTAATTCTTTTAAGGCAGTACGTTGGCAAACTATCTTACAACTTTATATTTCTGGCCTTTTTTATTTTTTAATTTGTTTTAATTAATTACACATGACAGTATAATGATCTTGACATATCATACATATGAATCAGATGGAGTATGATTTCTCATTTTTCTGAGTGTACAGGTTGCAGAATCACATTGGTCATGCATATATACATACAGCAATAATAATGTCTATTTTATTCTGATGTCCTTCCTTTCCCCCTTTCCCCTCCCATCCCATCACTTCTCTCTACCCAATCTAATGTGACATCCTTCTTCTTTTTTTTCTTTTTCCTCACTTCGTCATACATGTATTCTGTATAATGATGAGGATCTCCTTCCATCTTCTGTGTAATTCCCCTTCTCCCTCCCTTTCCCTCCCACCTCTCTTCCCTATCTAGAGGTAATCTTCTCATGCTCTTCCTCCCTACCCCATTTTGAGTCACTCCCCTTATATCAGAGAAGACATTCGGCATTTGTTTTTTAGGGATTGGCTAACTTCACTGAGCATAATGTGCTCTAATGCCATCCATTTCCCTGCAAATGCCACGATCTTGTTATTTTTTAGTGCTGAATAATATTCCATTGTGTATATATGCCACATTTTTTTTTTATCTATTCATCCATTGAAGGGCACTTAGATTGGTTCCACAGTCTATCTATTGTGAATTGTGCTGCTATAAACATTGATGTGGCTGTGTCCCTGTAGTATGCTGTTTTTAGGTCTTTTGGGTATAGACCGAAAAGAGGAATAGTTTGGGTCAAATGGTGGTTCCATTCCCAGCTTTCCAAGGAATCTCCATACTGCTTTCCAAATTGGCTGCACCAATTTGCAGTCCCACCAGCAATGTATGAGTGTACCCCCCCACCCCACCCCCCACCCCCGCATTCTCGCCATTATTTGTTGTTGTTTGACTTTATAATGGCTGCCATTCTTACTGGAGTGAGATGGTATCTTAGAGTAATTTTAATTTGCATTTCTCTGATTGCTAGAGATGGTGAGCATTTTTTCGTGTATTTGTTCATTGATTGTATATCCTTTTCTGAGAAGTGTCTGTTCAGGTCCTTGGCCCATTTGTTGATTGGGTTATTTGGTTTTTTTTGTTATTTAATTTTTTGAGTTTTTTGTATACCCTAGAGATTAGAGCTCTATCTGATGTGTGAGGGGTAAAAATTTGTTCCCAGGATGTAGGCTCCCTATTCACCTCACATATTATTTCTCTTGCTGAGAAAAAACTTTTAGTTTGAATTCATCCCATTTGTTGATTCTTGGTTTTAACTCTTGTGCTATATGTGTCTTATTAAGGAATTTGGGGCCTGACCCCACGTGATGGAGATTAGGGCCAACTTTTTCTATTATTAGACACAGTCTCTGGTTTGATTCCTAGATCCTTGATCCATTTTGAGTTAACTTTTGTGCATGGTGAGAGAAAGGGATTCAATTTAATTTTGTTGCATATGGATTTCCAGTTTTCCCAGCACCATTTGTTGAAGATGCTATCCTTTCTCCATTGTATGCTTTTAGCACTTTTGTCTAATATAAGGTAGTTGTAATTTTGTGGGTTGGTCTCTGTGTCCTCTATTCTGTACCATTGGTCTACCAGCCTGTTTTGGTGCCAGTACCATGCTGTTTTTGTTACTATTGCTCAGTAGTATAGTTTAAGATCTGGTATAGTGATACCACCTGTTTCACTCTTCCTGCTTAGAATTGCTTTAGCTATTTTGGGTCTCTTATTTTTCCAGATGAATTCATAATTGTTTTTTCTACTTCTGCGAGGAATGCCATTGGGATTTTGATTGGAATCGCATTGAATCTGTAAAGTGCTTTTGGTAATATGGCCATTTTAGTAATATTAATTCTGTCTGGCCTTATTTTTAACTACAGTGATTTAGAAGGTGAAGAAATATCTCTATCAACTTTACAGAATTGAAAATTTCTTTTTACAAAGTTTTCTAATATCCTGCCTACTGTAAAAAAAAAAAAAAATAGGAAAATCTAGAAAAGGAGAAATCAGAAAGGAAAAAAAAAAATGCCCATATAATCAAATAGTCCCTTCAGGTATGTTTTCCCCAGCCTTTCTTGAGGAGCTTAGGAGAGTCCCTCTGCTTTTGAAAGACCCTGCCCTCCGGCTGTGCTTTTCTACTGTTCTACCCCTATGGCTCTTGATGCTACTGAAAAGCAAGATGGTCCTCAGATTCACCTGCACCTGGTTCACCCAGTGGACCTGATGGTGAAATGTAGAAGGCAGATTTTATTTCCAAGATGTATACAGACCTTATCTCATCTTCACCATGCCAGAACCTTAGATATTATTAGTTTTCCTAGGTGTGGTTATGGTAATATGGTAATATGGAGATATTAGGAACATATCTTCATTATTTGGAGATAAATGTCAGAGTAGTTGGGGCAAGGTGTTATAATGTCTGTAACTTACTTTCAAATTGTTCAGAAAAAAAAATATCCTTACAGAGCTATTGAATTTAGATGGTAGATCTTTTGTTTTTTTCCTCCCAACTTTTCTGTAAAATTTTTAAAATTTTTCATACCAAAATATAGAAGAGGAAGAAAGAATTACATTTTTAGAAAAGCAAAATAATAATAATAATAATAATAATAGTGAAATGTCCTGGAATTTTGCCCTGAATGGTCTCCAGGGCCACAGGTCCTGTGGTGTCCTGCTGATTGTCACAGTCATAAGTCCTACATGCTTCCCTGATAGGGGAAGGCAACTAAGTTCACCCCCACATCAGTGGTTTAACATTTAACTGTAGGGTATAAATGAAGTTTCCAGAGGGACGTTCAACAAACAGAATTTCAAATCTGTCCAAGTAGCATTTGGGGGCAGTGTGACATGATGCTCCTACCTTCTCCTTTGAACTTTGCTTTTGTGTTGGAATTTTTTCTTGCCCTGTCCTGTCTTCCTGATTGTCTGCATGTGTTCCTTCCTCATCTTTCACTTGTGCTGGCAGTGGAGTAGTTGTTGGCCTGGGAGTAACTGTGGGAACAGACTAGCCCAGGGGAGACATAGCTGACAGTGAAAGTGATTGCAGCTATTGAATTCTGGGTTGGGGTTTAAGGACTTTTGCGGTATGTTAGCTGAGTCAGTCCTCATCCAAGATCATAGGGACTGTGAGATTGTAAGGACTGTCACATGCCCATTTTATCAGTGAGGAAACTGAGGAACAAGGAGAAAGAACTGGACAACCTGACTTCTTAACTAATGGAGTCTTGTGCTCTGATCAGTGTCAGTTATGTCAGCCTAGCCAACATAAACCCATTTGTTCACTGTTTGCTTTTCTGAGGTGCCAGAAGTTGGTAACACTTGTGCATTTGAGTGAGTATTGTCAATTGCTGAAAGTTGAGGACTAATTTTTACTTTGAACATTTTCAGTGGCAAGCACTGTTCATCCATATGTGTTAACAGTTTCTAAGAACGTGAAAAAACTTTAGTACTGAACGCTATTGGGCCATGAGTAATAAGAACTTTATTTGGATTTGGTGCATTTCAAGGTTGCTGTGGCTTTAAGTAGGCTGTCCAGTTTGCATGTGTATATGTAGCCTTATTTTCTTCTAGTCTGTTACTGTCTGCATCTCTGAGGGTCTCTTTCCTCCTACACCACCCTTACACAGTGCAGTCAGTATACTTTTCCTAGAGTCTCCTAGTGATTGGCACTTTCTTGCTTCTAGAGATTTAGTGGTTTCCTGTTATCTATAGAATATAATCCTATTTCCTGTTATCTATAGAATAGAATCCTATTTCCTGTTATCTATAGAATATAATCCATTCATTCATTTAGCATTGAAGATTCTTGAAAGATAGTTCAAAACTGTCTTTCTGACTGTAGCTTCTTCATTTCCTTGTACTAATTGAAACTGAACTCTCTTCTCTGATAGTGTCCTTTGCATTTTTGCCTCTCCATCTCTGTTCTGCTGGATAACTCTTTATTCATAACTCTTATCCTCATCTGTTTATTCAAAAACCCTCTCCCTCATTTACTTTCACTGACAATTCTTTCCTTCTCCTTGACTTTGTTGAATTCAAACCATACCCATCATTTAAGGTACAGTTGAGATGCCACTTTTTTCATGAACCACTGTTTCTGGCATTGTCTTTAATCATTAGGATTAGAGAACCAAGACATGGGTGTCTCCTTTTATTTTCCGTATTGTGGTCTATATAATGAAATATACTGCCTTCTCTTAGGTTCTTTTAATGTTGCTTGGCTAGCCATAGAGTGGTATGAGATCATGGAGAAGTTCCCTGGTGAGGTTGAGGATTTCACAGAAGAGGTGACATGAATGGGTTTTAAAAGTGAGCAGGAGTTCAAGGCAGGAATTGTATTTCAGGCTAAGAAAAGTCTTACCATGCAATTCTTTCTGCATATGGGAGATTCCTGCCAAAAACGATCTGGTACTTGCCTCACACATAGTAGACAATAGAGATTAAAAAAAAAGATGGAGTTTTTTGCTTTCTTTGATGTTTCTACTTTCCAGTCTTTCTTTATCCTCCCTGTCTCCCCTTAAGTGCACATAAGTGAACTAAGCATGTAGCTCTATGTGTATGTGTTCATGTGCATGTTCTGTCTCTCTCTCCTGGGTATTGGAAACAAGTGTGCCCATTTTAAAGCTAACTGATTAACAAAGGAAACTGATTTTACAAACTACCAGATTACTTTGGTGCAAGCACTTTGAGGCTGAAAAAATAACATAATTTTTAACCCTATAGTATTTCAAAAGTTAAATTTTATTTTTCATTAAAATACCTAGTATTGTAATTTGAATATCCAGCAACTGATTATTTTTTTAAGAATTTTTTAATATTTATTTTTTAATTCTCGGCGGACACATCTCAATTTGTATGTGGTGCTGAGGATCGAACCCAGCGCCGTGTGCATGCCAGGTGAGCGAGCTACCGCTTGAGCCACATCCCCAGCCCAACTCATTATTTTTTATATAAAAAAGAGAACATTGTAATCTCAAAAAAAAAAAAAACAAAAAAACAAAAAAACAAAACCACAGAACAATGAAAATATTCATATTTTTCTGGAATTAAAAAGTATTACTTTAATTAGTAGAATTTAAAAATATATCTTTTAAGTGTAAAAAAATACATGTATATTGTAACTAAAAAATACAGATGAGTTATGGAAAAAAAGATATCCTGAATAATCAAGTTATCATTGTGACTATTTACATTTTTTTCTATAAAATTTCCTATTATATTTGTGATTGTACTATATAAAATTTTAAGTCTATAAGCATACTATTAATACACAAACATTCTGTTATGAGAAACTCTATAATCTATTACTGATTATAATTAACATCTATTATTCTATTATTAATTTCATAATATTCCATATCTAATATGCCTTAGATTATTTATGATTGGATGTTGGTTATAATTTTTTTAATATTCAATCTCTTTAATATATTTCCAATTTTACACCATAATAATAAAACAATGCCAAAATCAATTTGTGATATTAGATAAAAAGCAGAATAGTTAAAAGTAATTGAAATATATAAATAAGAGAGACCAGTAGAGTAGAGGAAGGGGGTTGGGGGGAGGGAAGGAGAGGAAGAGGAATGAAATTGACTGAACTACCCTTTGTTTATATATATGGATATACCACAGCAAATTTCACCTTTATATATATCTATAAAGCACTAATTTTAAGAATGTAAATAAATAGAAAGAAGACCAATGAGTAAAGAAAAGGGAATACAGGTTGGAATGGGAGAATGGGGGGAAAGGGGAAGTACTAGAGACTGAATTGGAACAAGTTATTTTACATGCTTGTATAATTAGGTCAAAATGAGCTTCACTATTATGTATAACTATAATGCACTAATACAAAAATTATCACACATAAAATCTCAGAATCAAAATGAATATACATATTTCAGAAAGGGTTTAGTTAAACCCAAAGAATACTTTATGCACAATACTCTGCTGGTTTTAATTTTTATTGTCTTAAATAACATCTTTTTTTAATGCTTGAGAGTGTGTATTGGATGATTTTTGGGGGGATATATTTTTAAGGTTAGAATCACTGGGTTATAAAGCCTAAATGTTTTAATTCATTGATCTTTGTTGCCAAGCTATATTCTAAAAGAGCTGTATCAGTTTAGCTCTTGTTTGTAGCATTTGAGAAATGTTGAAAATATATTTTAAAACTTTCCTTCTATTTATGTAATATCATTCCTTTGAAGAACTTTGTGCTATATGGTATTTTCAAACCATAACTTGGGAGTAAAGTGTGAGGGTGGGGAAGTGGAATAGATACACTTTTGAAGTTTATTTCATCAAATGTAGTCATATTTGAATATATAAAATTAAATGATTAGCATGTAATTATAAGAAGTTTTAACTAAAAGACAGAGTAATTGCTACTCCTGCTTCATTGAGTACAAAATTATGACTCTTATATAAAAAAGTCTTATAAAAGATTCTTTTATAGCTAGGTGGGCATAACATTCATTAGTACACACAGCTCTCTCTTCAAAATAGTATTCTTTTTAAAAAAAAATGTTCTAATTAGTTATACATGACAGCAGAATGGATTTCATTTCATTGTACACAAGTGGAGCACAACTTTTATTTTCTCCTGTTGTACACTATGTAGAATTGCACCATTTGTGCAGTCATACACGTACGTAGGGTAATTATGTCCTTCTCATTCCACCATCTTTCCTACCCTCATGCCTGCTTCCCACCCCACCCTCACCTTTGCCCAATCCAAAGTTCCTCCATTCTTCCCATGTCCCCTCCCCTCCTACTGGTATTATTTAGAATATGTGAAAACTGTCTACTTGGTATCATTGTTGATTAGCAGAATCCATTGAAACTGAGTTTCTAGTAGTTTTCTTAAGTCATTGTGCCCAAGCATAGGCCCTTCCACCTTGAACAATAGCCTGAATTCAGTAAACATGACTGTTTTTGAAATCTTAATCCATAAAAGCAAACTTTTAAAAATCTAGCTGTACTCTAATGTGTTTTATTTTTTTTTTATTTTTTTTTTTTTAGAGAGAGAGAGAGAGAGAAAGAGAGAGCGAGAGATTTATTTAGATAATATTTATTTTTCAGTTCTCGGCAGACACAACATCTTTGTTTGTATGTGGTGCTGAGGATCGAACCCGGGCCGCACGCATGCTAGGCGAGCGCGCTACCGCTTGAGCCACATCCCCAGCCCTCTAATGTGTTTTAAATTACATATTTTTCATTAATTTAAATCTCAAAGTTTATTAATTAATGTCTTAATACTAAACCAAAAATACTTATTTTTCCTTTTTTTAAATTATTATTATTGTTATTATTTGGTACCATGAATTAAACCCAGGGGTGCTTAAAAACTGAGCCATGTCCCTAGTGCTTTTTATTTTTTATTTTGAGACAGGATCTTGCTAAGTCTTTAGGGCCTCACAAATTGCTGAGATTGGTCTTACGCTTGTGATCCTCTTGCCTCAGCTGCCCAAGTGGCTGGGATTATAGGAGTGTGCCACTGTGCCCGGCTCTTCTTTCTGCTTTGGAGCTTTCAGCCAGAATATCTATTATTTGTGTTTTCTGTTCAGAATGTTTAATTATGGTCACCAAAAAACTGTCTTTACCCTGCCTTGGCTACTGCTTTGGAAATAGGCATGGAAATGATGAGATGGGGTCCAAAGCTGATCTTCCTCTTGTACTTCCTAGATAGTTTGTTGGGTTTTAGTGAAAATGGCTATTCAGCATTTTGAGGGATGATTTAATAATGGTCATTATTGGTTTCTGCCTCATGGCAGAAATAGTGAATGCAGCGACAACATCATATAGTAAAAGATAATCCAAGGATGATCTTCCAGAACTGTATTCCCAATGCTCTGTAAACCAGTGTGGACTGAGAAAAGATTATATATGTTAAACATTTTGTGGTTGAAATATAAACATTCTATGCTAAAGATTTTTTTCCCCTTATGTTCTAGATTGGGACTTTAACCAGGACATCTGACAGCGAGGTAATGTGCACTTGGCATTGTGTTGTCTGTTTGTAAATATCTGACACCATGTTTGTGACAAAATCCTACAGAAGCTTTCTTGGTCCAGTTGTGGTTCTTTCCTAGCAATTCCAGCAAATGTAGGGCCAGTACTTCCCCCTCCATCAATGGATCCATGTTGCTTTTCTCTCTGGTTCTGTTTTGACTGTCACCAACAAATTATAGTCTGCTTTTGTAATTGTTTTGTTGAGTGACTTGTCTTGGCAGTTTGACAAGGTGTGGTCCTGCTTGGCCATCTATTCACTGGTATACTGCATGAAGCCGGGAGCCATATTGTTCCTTGCAGTGGGCAGCCAGGAAAGCAGTACTGTTTAGGGCCTTGATAAACAGTTTGTTTGAAGTAAGTGAACGCAGTTCAGATTTGGCTTGCCGGATAGGTTTGTACATTTCAATGTTGAAATAGTTTTACATACAAATTTGTAAATAACCATTAAGTGAACCCTGAAATCATTCATCTTAACACTTAGTATGGCAAACCAATAAATATAATTCAAGTAGGTTGGTAAATTCTTTGGCTTCCTTATTTATCTTATAATATAGATAATCTTGAGCTTCTGCTTGTATTTTTAAACTCAATCGTGTGTCATTGTTAGAGTAACTAGGAGAAATATCAATTTGGAACAAAGGTCAAAAGCTGTTCAGTATAGAAATAGTTTAATTTTTTAGTTTGTCTAAGAGCATTAGAATTGTCTTAAGATAATTTAGGAGAAAAGAGAATGTTCAGAATGTAAGAGTTCCGGTAAATCCCTCCTTTTCCCCTGCCCTCTTCCAATTAGAGCACATAGGAGTCTCACAGAAGGAAATTTTGAAAGTCCAATTTGAGGTTAATAAAAACCAAGTGGAAGGATATGGCCCCAGTGAGCTTCCCAGTACTTTACCTCAGCCTTGTTTTCTTCTGAACACAGCTTCTTTCTGAGATAGGCAGAATGCTGAATAAAAGAAACTTGCGTCCATTTACCTGCTATGCCTGATGTTCCTTTGAGGGGTAGGCAAACTGTAATTCCCCATCAGATTTCAAGTGAAAATGTGTAAAATGTTGTCTCCCCCCCCCCCCCCCCAGAATTGCTTCATCTTACTGGTATGTGTTTATTTATGTGTGCTTTATTTAGGTTCCAGATGTGGAATCTCGAGAAGACTTGATTAAAAATCACTACATGGCAAGGATAGTGGAGCTTACGTCCCAGCTGCAGCTGGCTGACAGTAAGTCAGTGCATTTTTATGCTGAGGTGAGTCGGGGAGAGTTAATTGGGCTGGTGGTTTTCCTCACCCCTCAGGAATCAGGCCACCTATTCTGCCATTTGCTAGAAGAGAGAAGTCAATATGCATTTTCTGTGTACCTGTGTTCGTGCTTTTGGTTGCAGTTCATATTGATTAGTCTATTAACCACCCCCCAAATCTTAATTTCAATAAGACTGATTTGTCATTTCCAAGCTACTGAAAGATAGCCGGGGGACTTAGAAGTAGCCTTTCCTATAGTCATATAATATACATTTTGGAGCATTATTATTAGAGATTTCAAATGTTTTACAGTTAAGGACAGGTAGATGATCACAGATGAAGGAATTCTCATGTAGGCAAGGTAAAAAACAAATACACCGTTTTTAAAAAAAACACATTCCAATTTCTAAATAACAAGTTAAATGAATTACTATAAATGAAAAAAAAGTAACCTTAAAGTTGTTAAAGATATTGAAAAACACAACACCCTTTATTGAGACCTGACTTTATCTGTGATTTTCTCTTATACTGTAGAGATGGAGAGGTTGATAGGAGGCCAGTTGCTAGAAGTGGAGAGGAGCTTTGCGTATTTTTTCTGCTAAAATAAATGATGTGTGCCTAGCTCAGTGTAGTGTGCAAGCAGCTATTGCATACATGTTTGATAAGTTGATCAGTAGCGATCATTTGTTGGAATGCAAACAGCAGGGAGGACAGCAAATGAGAAAACTTGCAGAGGAATTGCTGTAATACCTAAGCCATGCGGTACAGCAGTGTATCCTCATTATTTGGTTCTCTAACTGCTGAGTTAATGTCTCAGATTTGACTGTCACCTTCATGAGCACCTGTGCCTTACACGTCTCTCCATTTTGTGTCACATCTAGTGCTGAGCAGGGTTGATGTTTGATTAATAAGATGTAGTTTATTTGGTTGGCTGAAATGTCCTGAAATTTTCTTGAGAAATAAAAAGAGTAAATGGGAAATTTTTTTTAGGCTATCTTATTTTCAAGAGATTTGCCTGCTTTCATAAATGTCTTCAGCATAATTGTGATACAAAAATTTGTAGATTGTCCCAGTTCTTCCTCATCAGTAAACAGGAAGTGGTGACCTCCTGAATGACCTTACTGGAATGGTTAGTCCAAGCGCCTGATGTGGACACAGCATTCAAATGTGTCTCATCAGCTTCTCTTTGTCATTCTCAATGGTCTTATCCGAAAGTCTAGCGATCCTTTTAATTACTCACTTTCTTTGAACAATAGTGCAAAATAGAATTTTTCCTTTTTCATCTGCTCTGTATCTGGATGATCTAGGTTTGGTAGAACTCCCAGAGAAAACAGCTGTGATCATAACAATCCTGTGCTCATTTTTTCCCCATACAGATAAAGAATAACTTATCAGGTGTGACTGTGAAGCTTTTATTGCGCTTGTAATGCGCTCTCTATTGAAGGACTTAAAAGTATCTTAGAATCCATGGCCAGAATGCATTGATCACTTTTGAAATAATCACTTCCCTTTTCATCTATCATATGGGTAAATGTAGAAAGTTCTTACTTTTTTTTTTTTTTTTTTTGGACCAGTGGTCATTAGATCAGAGCTAGGGAAAAAAACACCAATGGGCTTGGGTTATTAGACAAAATTTTTATTCCCTTACTAAAATGATGCAAGTGGGGCCTCATCTGTTGTACTCAGGTGTGGTACAGTGCCTGTAGGTGTTCAGCAGGTGCTGTGAAATGAATGAAAAATGAATGGCTTTTGCCTTTGGGGATTATTTTCTAATAACCTTCTCTGAAGTAAATTTGTTTTTGGAAAACACTGTTTCTAGAAATGGAATGTTTTCTGATTTTACAGTGCCGAGCACTCACTAAAAGACTAGCCTTGGCTGAGAAGTCTAAGGAGGCATTGACAGAGGAGATGAAACTTGCCAGTCAGAACATCAGCAGACTTCAGGTGAGTTTGTAAGTGTTATCTAAGCAGGCTTAATGTTTTTTCACTGAAAGCCCTTGGGCAGACAAGTCAGCCTTTCCTTTCAGAAGTTGTGGCATTTGACCTCTGCATATGCTTTTTCTAACCACTTTGTTCCTAGCTTATTTTAAACAAACATCTTATGTCAGACAAAAAGTGCTTGACTTGTTTATTTCTCTGACTTGACCTTTATTTTAAATTCTTCTACAGTCAGCATGTGCTTGAATTATATTTACTGATAATCCTCCCACCCCCTTCCTTGTAAATACTCCTCATAGTAGACTGGAGGCTTGTTCTACACACATTATTCTGTTCTTTGTCTTTTCTTTTTCATAAAACTGACCTACATTGAAAGGTGGGGCTGCAAAACATTCTTCCTTCTTCACCACCTTGTTTTGTAACATGGTACCCTTGTTACGTAAACATGGTACCAGACCAAGGAGAATACATCATCACAGTGCCCAGCTCCTCTTTGTTGATCAGCTTCTCAGATTAGTTAGGAGCCCGTGTAGGATCAGATCTGAGGGGCCTGAAGAGAGCATGAGAAGCGGGAGGAGAAAGGAAGGGCACTTCGTCCCTTGAGGGCTGTGGGCCACTGAGGAGTGGGATGGTGTGAAAGTGTCTGCGGCCCTGTGTGAGGCTTGAGAAAACCTGAGGGGATCTGGAAAGATCATTTAGTCCTCTGGCCTTTCTGATGATTTTACACCTGGTACAGAAGGAAACCCTTAAACATTTTTGCAAAGAAATTAAGGACATATTTTGAAGGCTGAGAGAAACTTCTCCATTTCTTTTTAAGTTTTTTTTTTTTTTTTTAATTAGACCTGTGCCTTCACCTTTGTGTTAATTGATCAGCTGGGCCATCTTCATAGGTTGCTTTTCCAAATTTTAAAAACTAATTTTAAAAGCTTCAGACTAGAGTGACTAGTGAGGCTTTAAATTTCCTTTTTTCTCTCTTTTCCTTTGCTCTTCAGGATGAGCTGACAACCACCAAAAGGAGTTATGAGGATCAGTTAAGCATGATGAGTGACCATCTGTGCAGCATGAATGAGACATTGTCTAAACAGAGAGAAGAGATTGACACCCTGAAGATGTCCAGTAAGGTATGTGGGGTGAGGTGAAGAGGTAGTCCCTCTGCAATGTATTTAATATAGGTAATAGAAGGTATTTCACTGTTATGCATTTCAGGAGTGAAAGATTATGAGATTTATAATGCTTATAGATTATTTTCCTTAATCTCATTTGTCCTATCAAAAAGTAAAATTGAGTTTCCTTGACTGAGTTATAAACTTAGAATTTCTGACTTTTGAGGCATTAATATTGTGTCTGCTTCTTTGGGGGCACTTTTGGCATTTCTGCTATTCTTGTGGAAGAGTGGCGGTGGCACAGAGGTTTTTAGGAAGGGGATTGTGCTTTGTTTACAAAAGTATCTAAATGGTACTGTTGAGTAACCTTTAACAAAATTTATTCTCATAGGTATCCATATAACTAAGGAATGTCTGACTCTTTTTAACTCTGGAGATTACCTTTTTCATAAAGCCTCTGTTGTCTAAGCCAGGGTCAATAGATAACCGGTAATCTATTTAGGCTGGAATGTATATATCCACCTGCCATATCTTTATTTTTGTGTCATAACGTATGTATTTTTTTGCTGAGATGGTAAGCTTTAAGGGACCAGGTGCTCAGTTCTATGTGTCATCTCAGATGCTTAGCACATTTCAGTAACTACAAGAGGCTATTTTACCACCATCAGCTGGAATTCGCTGTCTATAGCTTGTACTCTTTGAGATCTGCTGCTGCTACTTAGTAATTCAGCAGGCATTTATTGAATCCTGCTCTGTGCACTGGAGAAGAAGTAGAGATGAATAAACCACAGCTTTATTTTAGTTTCTGCTTGTGGTGGTGTAGGGCAACATTGAGGTCAGTTGGGGTCTTCTTGGAAAATACATCATGTTAATGCATTTGTGTTTGCATTACATAATTTTTATTTTTCAGTGTAGTGTCATGGTATTTGTTGACCTCTCCCTACTTTAGAGGGTGTCTCTGATGCTTCTCTGGGCCTCACTGTGATGATTTTAACCAGCCAATATGGTTCTGATTATGGTTCTTCAGTTACTCGTGCTTCAGGAAACTTGAGCTTGGAGGCAGAGGGTGGGGGTTGGGCTTCTTAAATAATGCCTCTTTTTACCTTTTTGGCCTCTTGATATTCCAGCAGGGAAATGTCTAACTTGAGGTTATATTCCTAGTCATGGAGGAAAGCACACACATTGAAGAGATTACGTTTTGTCTTTTCTCATTTTAGTATAGAATGAGAAAGCCAGTTTTAGCATCTATCATTTGAAAAGAAGTAAAGTGAGTCTAGGGAAAGCCTTGAATCTGCAAAGCATTTGGTTCTGAATTGAAGAGGGTAAATGTTGAGTGCAGCAAAGCTCATTATCCCAGAGGTAATTAGATTATAGCTACTTCAGAAGGTAGGGAATTTTCAAGTTTTCTCAGAGCTTTTTAATCTGTTCCTCAAAATACATGTCATTAAGAAATCTCTAAGAGACTTGTCTTCAATTAGGAGTTTATATTGTTAGCCTTTCTTTGATCATGCTGTAATCCCTGTATTTTGCTTCCCCTCAAGTTTATTAATAATTTATAGTGCTATAGCATCATCTTATGGCTGAGTTGACATTGTCTCCATTGGATACCAAGTAAATATCCTCAACCATTTGTTTGCTATTATCTTTTTCTTAGTATTTGTGTTCTGCAGGCATTCCCCACTTACAAGAAAAAAAAAATGTATCTATACCTCATAGTTTAGCAATTTAATTAAAATGTATTCCTAAGAAATGAATTGCTCCAAAAAAGAAAACATTATACAAAACCAGAAAGTCCAAGTTTCCTTATTTGATGGAATTGGAAATAAGTGAAGATATTTTCCCTCTAACTTATTATCAGCTTACTTTTGACAGATAATCAGTATCATTTGGCATTCAGTTGGCACATATTCAAAATTATTAGCTATTAAGGCCTTTATACAGGGTTTGTTTAAACAATCCAAAAGCATGTTTAGGCTAAAATTTTTTATTCAGTTTCATGAAATCTTATTCTCTGTTGACTTTAGAACAAAATGAATGTTTTGAGGTTTTGGTAAATCCCAGATAGTAGCCTGCTTTTCTTCCTTTATTGCCTACCCCAGCCCCCACGGGGATAAGGCCCACTGAAGTAGAAAGCAGGGAGAGTTAAAATTAAACTGTTGTGCGATTATTGAATAAAAGTTACAATGAGAGGTTATCGGCTATTCTCCCTCCAGGAAGCAAAAATGTTCCAAAGTGAAATATGGCCTTCTGACAACTTGGTTTATAAACTATGTGAACTATTTTTTTTGGAAATTTGTGTTCTTATTGTTTATATTTTTCTTTGCCTAGGGAAATTCAAAAAAGAACAAGAGTCGATAGCTCATAAATAGCTGGTTGGCGACTGTTCTTTCCAGAGCTGCTGCTACTGCTGCTGCACAGAGCTGCAGGCCGAGACTCCTCGTCCAGTGCTGGCGGTTTCGGGAAGCTGAAGTGTTGTTGGACCTAGTAAACTAGTCAGTGTTGTAAATGGCCTTGAAACATTTAAAATATATTTGTAACCAGTAAGGCAAACACAGAATTTGATGTTGACAGTAAAATGGAAAACAGTACACATACCATGGATATTATAGGTTTCCTTATGCTGTTTTTACTGTGCACTTTTTAAAATTAGGTTTTAATTTCAGTATGTGAGAACAACAAATATTTTGTATATTTTCAAACTCAATTATATGGTAATCGATTTGGTATCTATGGAATAGATATATGTTTCTGGATAAAATGCTTAAATTGTCAAACTGTCATTACTTCCTACTATAATTGAAAGCAGTCTCCAGATTCTTTTTTAAAGATTTATTCATATTCTCTATCTCTCCCTCCCTCTCAGAGGGAATGAGTCTTGCAAACTTCAGATCCTGTGGGTTTATTATCATTGTCTTCAGCTCTTCAGTACCCTCTCTGTGTTAGGATAATAGCTCAAGAAAATTCATGTCAATAAATTCATACTTATGTCAAACTTTCAGTCTCTATGAAAATTTGGTAAAAAAAACCAAAACCTGTTAAAGTCGACTTTACAAAACTTATAAAAACTCAGTTGACTTAGATGTAATCTTTCTAGTTCCCCAAATTGGAATAATTGTAGTTAATCCTTTATAATGCTTTTGAGTTTTGCCTTGAGAGCTGCTTGTACACTCAAGGGTCAAACAAGAACCCTAAGACCTTTAGGCTCCCGTGGTTTATCCCATAAATATTTTTTGTGTCATTTTAGTGTAAACTTCAGGAGTGTCTCTCCATGCACCCCCACTCCCACAGCCCAAAATACATTGTTCCTTTTTCATTTGCTTGCACAGGCCTATTTAATTCCCCAGATTAGCTGAGGGGTTCCTGAAATTCCTTCCTTCCTAACTCCCTCCCTGTGGCTGCATCTTCCTTGAGGCTCTTCCTAGGCAGTTGCTGGTCACCCTCCCACCTGCTTTATTCTGGTTAAGCTGAGAGCCCATCATTGGCTTCCCTCTGTGCTCAGTGTCAAGGCTGCTTCTGAGTCCTCAGCTGCCTGCCATGAAGAGAGACTCTGGTTATGCTCAGTCCTCATGGCAGTGAAAGTGTTTGGATCCTGGGTTGGGGGACCTTGGGGTTAGTTCAGTCCCTTGCCCCCTCACCTTATCTCTTGTGTGCCCTGTCCATTTCCAATTCTCTATCAATTAAACCAGCACCCACACCCAGGTCCCCAAACACTGAGGGAAACATCAAAGAACCATGCTGACTAGCTCATCCCATTATGAGCTTGGGAACTTCACCTTCCAAGCTTACATTGTTCCATGATAGTCCTTTGGCATTTCTATTCCAAGTTTCAGTAATGACTATACCACTTCTCAAGCCTTGTCCCCTCATAATCAGACTGTATACCATCAAACTCACAGCCCCTCAGCAGGAGTGCCTCTTCACTGCCACACTTGTTTATATATAAACCCATCCTGTGAGGCAATGGGGGCTCCTGCTCCCCATAAAGCTAACATGTTTTCAATGCTTTGGTGCCACTCCCTTTCCAGGACTTTGCCTTTCACATTTACATCTTCAATTTCTCATTCTGCTTGACTCCTCTCCCCCAACTTCCAAACAAATTGAATTTACCCCATCCTTTAAAAAGTTGAGTTTATTAGAAACCAAATTTCCTGGGTTCAAATCCTTTTACTTACAGATTAGTTACTTAGCATTTCTGTGTCTCAGTTTTTTTTTTTTAATCTATTAATAGGAGATAAAATAATACCTACCTCCTAGGATTTTTATGAAGATTAAATGAATTAATATTGTAAATTGCCTCCAGTACCTGGTATAAAGATTATTTATTAGTAATAAATGTTACTGGTAATATTATTGTCATTGCTACTTAAGTTATTTATTTTTCTCCTCCCTTTGTCCATATTCTTTCCCATTTTTCTTCCAGATTTTATGGAAATGGTTATTGTTGGTTGTCTTCCCATTTTTCCCAAGACCCATTTGCTCCTTTAATTTGAGGTAGTCAGGTTTCATTGCCCACATTATAATGAAGCCACTATAATGAGCCTTGCCAGTGTCCACCTGATTGCCAAGTCCAGTGGCTTCTCTTCATCTCTGCTCTTGCCTGAGTTTTCTATAATGTGAAAGATTATAACCCAGTTTGTCTTTGAAGATCTTTCTTCTTCTGGATTTTCCAGTGCTTCTTTCTCTTACATTCTTGTTCTCTTTTCCTATGCAAATTCCTTCTCAGTTTCTTCTGTGGTTCTCCTTTAAGTGTTCTTCAAGGTCCTGTTTCAGCTTCTCAGTCATTGAGTCCACTGAGAGATGTCAGACCTCATCTTTCCAGCTTTGACCTTTTCTGAGCTATTCCCCAAGTTCACGCTGTCATATGAATTTTCTCTACCAGGTATCCCATGGGAAACTCATAATTCCAGGGCTCAGTCAGTGGTAAATTCACTCACCCAATTCCCCTCCCATTTTTTTCTAGTTTTCTTGCATCTCACCAGATGTGTTTCTTACCTAATACTCATTTAGTCAACAGACATTTATTGAGTGCCTTTTATACACTAAAAACTATCCCAAGTGCTGGAACTCAAATAATAGACAAAAATACCTTTCATCATTGAGCTTAGTTTGGGGGAGAAAACAAAAGTAAATAAAATATACAGTGTGTTAAAAGCTTCTAAGTACTGAAGAGGAAAACATAAAGCCAGGGAAGGGGATAAGGACTTGATGGGATATTGGCTTTTAAGATAGAGAGACCAAGAAAGGTGTGACAAATGAGTAAAGATCTGAAGAAAATGAATCATGAGTCATGTAGACCTCGGGGAAAGAGTGTATCACACAGGAAGACTAGCACGTGCTAAGGTCCTGTGTGGAGAAAATCCGGAATCCAAGAAAGCAAGGGGCCCACTGCAGCTGGAGCAGAGGGAGCAAGGATGAGAATACTAGAAGATGAGACAGCAGACAAGGTAACTGACCTGTGGGTTGTAGATGTTGGTCTTAAAAATTTGTAAGTACTAATAGGAAGCCCTTGGAAAGTTAGGGACAAAGCAAAGACATTACTTGAATTTAAGTTTTAATAGGATTCTAGTAACAATTCTTTGTTGCTCAGTTGAGAATAGATTAGGGGGGAACAGGGTGGAAACACAGACCTGTTAGATGGCTACTGCAGTAACAGGAGGCCATCTAGAGATGATGGTGGCTTGGACCATGGTGCTGATGGGGGAAGTCATGTGAAATCTGTGTTTGGATTTATTGTGAAGATAGAATTGATAGGATTTACCTAACAAATTTATCCAGAATTGCAACTCCTTATACTTTTATTACTTGTCTCTGCTTTGTTTTCCTTAATACTTATCACAATCTGGCATATGATCTATTTGCTTTGTGTGTTGCCTGTTTCTGCCTCTAGAAGACACAGCTCTGTGAAGGCAGGTGTTTTTGTTTGGTTTGTTCATTGCTGTACTCTGTTCTTAGAACACTACCTGGCAATTAGTGAATGTTTATTGAATGAATTTTGATTGGTTGGAGGGTGGGGTGTGCGAGAAAGAGAGGAGTCAAAGATGAATCCAAGAGTTTGGGCCTAAACAAGTGTCACTGAGGAGGACTGAGGGAGAAGCAGCTAGCTTCTCCAAGTTGAAATTTAATCTGGAGACCTGGGAATCACCCTTGATTCCTCCTCATCTTGCACATCTCATTGGTTATCTTGTTTTACTGAATACTTCTGTCTTTGCAGTGTTTCTGACTTCTAACCTCTCTTTACTCAATACCTGAATACCAGACAGGTAGCCCTGGCTACCTGTCTGGACTGCTCATCTTCCTGTATTCCAGTCCTGCCACCTCTTCTACCATATAATTTTTCTAAAACATGTCTCTGCAGAGCCCACTTTCCTGACAGACAGCCTTCAGAATGGCTCCTTATTGTCTCTGGGAAGTCTGTTAGCAGTGTATATATTGCCATTCTTAGCTCACTTTCTCTTCTCTTTCATGCATGAAGCACACTCTCCTCTTTGTGAAAACTCTCGGGCCTCTGAGTCAGGAGGAATTTTGGAACAATAGGCCTGCTTTTTTCTTAGAGATAATGTAAATCTTGGGATTATTTCCCTTGTTGCTTTGGAGTTGGATCTATGGCAAAATGGTGCCTTTTTTTTTTTTTTTTAATCTTTAATTTGTTTGTTTTTATGTGGTGCTGAGGATTGAACCCAGTGCCTCACACGTGGGAGGTAAGTACTCTGCCACTAAGCCACAACCCTGGCCTCCAAAATGGTGCCTTTTTGACTTATCTGCTAAGATCTTTGGTTTTTTGACAAAGTCGGTTCCCAAAGCATGGTGTAATTCTTGTGTACTAACTCTTATCCTAAGTCAGGCATAGGTAGGCCTTGACACTGTGGTTCCCTTTAAACTGCCCAACAACCATTATCTCATGCATATTCTCATTATTCCCATTTTATAGATAGAAGACTAAGGTTTAGAGGACCAACTTGTCTACAGTCACACAACTAGTACATATTGGAGCCAGGGTTCAACTCCAGCTTAGTTGGCTTCCTAAGCCTGGATTATTCACTACTGTAGTATGAACCTTTTAAATTGGGACTTTCAAGTTCTTCAGATACTACATATTTGGAGAATAAAATATCAAATTTCTCAGTAACTCATGTACTTCATTCAACTTTACCTTTCCACAGCTTTACTAAACAGCCCTTATACCTTTATCCAATTTGTTTTTAGTTAGCTTCTTAGGCAAATTTAAAGGTGTTGGTACAATGTTTGTGTTTGATATGATTTTTCTTTCCTGACACTGCATTTTTATTTACACAAAACCCTGCCAACCATTTATTCCTGTACCAAATTTGTTGTCACAATTTTATTATAGGAATTTTCTAACATACAAATTTGGAGACACTAATACAAGCCTTATGTCCCTATTACTCATTATGAACACTGTCAATCTTGTTTTACTTTTTTTTTTTTTTTTTTGATGCTTTTTTCCCCTATGGAGTATTTTAAAGCAAACTCCAAACATTGGGTCATTTGATCTGTAAATGCTTTTGTTCTGCATGCCTTTGAAAGAGTGATAGGCACTGATTTCTAAACCTTACACAGGTAATTAGTTCATTCAACAAGTGTGTGTAGAGTGCCTGCAGCCTGCTCAGTGCTGAGCAGACTGTGAGGAACAAAACAGACATGACGGCTGCCTTTGAGAACTGACAGCCCAGTAGTGAGGCCAAGAAGTGATCACATAAGTACACAATGACAAATGTCATCAGTTGTCCATCCTGTGCTGGGATTGTCTCAGGTCAGTCAGCAAGAGATAATACATAGAGGCTTTTCCCCTCCAAATGTCTGTACTATTTGAGTCAGACTGTTATAAAATATTTATTATTAAGAAACAAGGCAAAACAGAATGACAACAACAACAAAAAAGTCCCTTTTTTATCTTCCCCCCATTTTATGCATTCCAGATATGCACTCAGCTTTTCATGACTCTGACAAAATACCTGAGAAAAACAAAGGAGG